TCCACTAAAACCACCAATGAGGTACTGGAACGCTTTTATGGAGGATTCGGGATAAAAAATCAACCTGGAAAAGTCAAAGGTGTTATTCTCCTACAACACCAGTGTGGAGCAACAAAACTGGGAGTCAACTCATATCAACGTCAAGAAAACGAAAAACCTGGGCAAGTACTTAGGCTTCCCACGCGTTACACAAGAACAACAAAACAGGACTATGACTTTATTATGGAGAAAGTTAGGTCAAAACTTGCGGGGTGCAAATCTAAACTCCTCTCCCCAACAGGGCGCACGGTCCTCTGCTATAGAAGCTACGCACACCTACTATATGCAATGTAGGTTACTTTCGGCCTCGACTTGCCTTGAACTCGATAAAATGAATCGAAAGTTTCTGTAGGGGTGCTGGTGAGAATTCCAAGAAACTTTATAGAATTAAGCGGAATGAAGTCACTAAATCAAAAATTGAAGAAGGACTATGACTAAAGAAAAATAGGCCACGTAACCAAGCACTTCTCATTAAAACATGTTGAAGAATAATCTATCAACAGAATGATCTTTGGGTGAGGGTCTTCTGTAACAAGTACTTGGCAAGAAGGTCTTCCAAAAATGTAGATATGTCTGTAGTGTGGAGGTCTTTGAGAAACTACCAGCAACTAATTGAGAAGGTATAAGATAGGTTATTCCCGATGGATCAAATGTGAACTTTTGGTCCGATAACTGGATTGGCCAAGGAAAACTTAGATCTCTCCTCACGGGCCCCCTTAATCAAAATGAAGAATTCTTCATAGTTAAGCAGGTCAAACTAAGCTGGGATTCTTCTGAAATCGTACAGATGTCCTTCAATATCCTTAGGACATTTTTAAGTCTATGAGATGTGAGGATTTAAATCGTGATTACAGTCATATTTTTTATTATGTTGTATTTTTTATAATTATGGATATAATAGATAAAATAACAATAATTATTTTTATCGCGATTGTAATTTTTTTTTTTTTATATAATTTATTATATAATAAAATAAATTATAATTATAATAATAAAAACTCTTATTTTATGATATTTAAAATAATTTAAAACATTTTAATTTCTTTATTTATATGAGAAAATAAATTATTAATATTTTGTATGTTATATTTTATTAGTCAAATTAATCCATGTTTAAAAGTTATTTAAATATATTCAGGAATATCATGATATTCACTATCATAACTATATAAGAGTGACAAAACAATATTATACATAAAAATTAAATATTTTTTTATCTTTTTTAATTATATGAAATTAAACTCATATATTAATATAGTTAAAAATATAATGGATGAAAATTTTAATATATAATAATTCACAAATTAAATTTAACAACCAAACTTTAATCAAGCACAAAAAAAAATTAAAAATAATATTAAATAGTAAAACTTTAGTCATTTAAATTTAATTATTTTTAAACCATATTAATACATACAAAATACTCATAAAAATATCTTTAAAATCTCATAAAAATAAATTCATTTTTATCATCTCATTCCCTCTCAATTTTTATCTAAATCATTAAAAAAATTTGTCAAATTCTGAATTTTCACTATTTAATTGCTTTTCCCTCCCAACTTTTCATATAAACAAAAAGAAAAAAATAATTTTAATTTTAATTTAAAGTCACATGAGAATGTGACTACTCCTCTAAAATCCCCTTATTCTCCTTTTCCTATGTTTTTTTTCCTACTCCACTCTCTTATGCCCCTTACCTCAATTCATTGTTTTAATTTTCTTTTCCATCCATGCAATCCCACCCACAATCATCTGTCCAACCTTATGCAGCACCCAGACCTTTGGGCCTCCGCTTCAATTAATTTTCTCTCTTTCATGTTTGGGCTCTTATTCCTCAAGGTTGAAAAGATCAAAAACCCTCACTTGCTGCAATTGATAAGTATGGTAGCTATGAAAAAGCACTATCTCTTTGATTCTTGTGGTTTGGAATGGATTTCTTTTTTTATTTTGTCACGTATTAGAATTTTGATTTGATAAAATTGAAGAAAAAAGTATCAGAGAACCCTCAATAGCAGTCAATTGTGGAAAAGCAGACTGATATTACCACTATTTACCCTTTTTTCGTTATTTGATATTTTATAAAGTCGTTATTGATGTGATTCATCTCTCTCATTTCGATAGCAGAGGATAACGATTTCGGAGGCTAGTACTACCGCAAAATAATGGCTGCTACATGACCACTATTTGAAACCATAATGAGAAGTATTATTTTTTCTTTAGTGGGAGGTGGAAGGAACACCATATGTTGGAACCACTCATGCACTGAAGAGTTCTCGATGAATAGTGCGTACAAGCTTGCTTCAAATGCCAACCCTTTACCCATAATGGAGGAGAAAAAGAATGGTTATGGATCTGGAAACAAAGAATCTACCCTAAGCTTCAGTTCTTCACAAGAGTGTGTGCACCAGATCCTCCCAACAAGAACTTTCCGTAGAGGATGTGGAATGACGCTCAAGAAGAATATCCTTTCTACCAAGCGAGAGAGGAAACACTTGTGCATATCTTTACCGAGTGTCCAATTGTGAAAGATTGGTGGGCACAAGCAAAAGCCCCTAGCCAGTCAATTTACAGCCACCATATTTCTTGGAATGATGACTCCATGCAGTGCCACCTTCAAAATGTGGTACCACACCGACGAAACTCCTTGAAAAATTGTGTTCATCTTTCTTCTATGGGAAATATGGACGGCCAGTAACAGACTGATCTTTGAAAGAAAGTTGGATATGGGAAGAGTGGTCCCCTGAGCGGTGGAACTAGCTATCAAGTGCCATGTTATAATGGGGAAAACAGATGCATGCGCATGGCCAACATACACTGGGGTCCAATGAAATTCACCAAAGCCTGGATGGCGTAAACTCAACATGGATGGATCCTCAATGAGAAACCTAGGAAAGGTAGGAGCTAGCACAATGCTATGTGATGAAGAGGGAAGCTGGCTTTCTGTCCCTAGGGCTATTAGTGTTGAGGCCGAGCTTTAGGCTTTAAAGGATGGTCTAAAAATTGCTTTGGAAGCTGGGAGTGTAAAAAATTGAAATTGAGCTTGATGCCTCAGCTGTGATAAAACTTATAAGTTCTCAATATCATACAAACCATTTTCTTAGTACACTGATTTGTGATTGCAAGATGATGTTGAAGAGGTTCCAACTAATGACTATGAACCATACCTTCCGTGAAGAGAATCGGTGTGCTGATGCCTTGGCCAGATGGGGAAGTGAAGGAAACTTGCAGCAAGTTGATACAAGTTTTAGGGGTAGCTTTGCTTATTTTGAATTTTTTCTATACTACCAAACTTAGTGTCTTCTTTGTTATTTGATGACGTTAATGGTGTAGTGTTGTAGCGTACTTCTTTTTAATCTATGGTATTGCTTTTTTTCGACAAAAAAATTTGTTTTGGACACCATTCACTCCTTCCATCAAATGATGAAATGGAGTGACCATGCAGAGAATGCCGCTTTTGAACGCGTTTTGATGAGATGCCCTTTTACTTTATATGTGTTGGTTTAGTTTTCAGTTTCGTGGTTTACGAAAATTCTTGGCTTTGACACGCGCTTTCTTTTAGTCGCTGAATTCTTTTCAGATGATGGGCGACGCGTTGCTTAGATAATATTGTCTTCAACTTTCCATAACAATTATATAAGCGCACATATAATATGTATATATCTCCCCCTTCCATATAGTCACATTCATTATTTATAATATTGTGCCACATGAACACCTTCCATCGCTATATAAGAATGAATCATTCCAAATTGATGTCATTGTGACACGTGTCTTCTAAAAATATTATTTAGATGACTATATATTTTTTTTCAATTTTGTATATAGATATATAAATGTACTTTCATGCATGTTTAGATTGTTATTAGTTAATATTTTGTTCTTTAACTTTAAAGTTATATAAATTTAACTATTCATAAACTTAGATATTAATAAACTATAATATTCATAAATTCAATAAATTGTGAATAAATATACTTTGTGTTTCGTATCATTAAAATTTTGACTTTATAATCATGTCTATTATTATTAAGTAGTATAAATAATATGAATCAAATATAAATAGCATGAATTTAATTATTAATAAATTTAACAGTTCATGAATCTATGAGATCCATGAACCTAATTAATTATAAATTAATGTATTTAGATTATTCACGAACTTAAACATTTATATATCTATAGTATTAAATGTACTTTCTATTTTATAATTTTGAGTTTAAATTCATATCTATTATAAAATAATATAAATAAAACTTAAATTCAAATTGAATTTAGATTCGTATCTAAAGAAAATCTTATGACTCCTTTGCTTATAATGTTATAAAACTTCCAAATTGTCCCTTCACAAGCTTTGGCGTCTTATCTCCAATGATAAGAAATCTCCTACACACCTTACCTTTACATCTGTTAGTGTTTCATATGTTTAGTGTTCAACATATCCATATCTATTAAATAATTTGAATACCCATAAATTAAATCAATTCATTAGAAAAAACAATACTCACAGCATCGCACAAGTAGTGATCTAGTATGTATATATATAGTACAGTACTATAATTTTTGAGATTGAGATTTTCACCAACTTTAAAGTCTCTCTATGGATAACTTTTTCCTTTTTTTTTTTGCATGGACTAATGAAATATAATTGCTGGGTCGTTGAATATTATTTTCTATTTCTAGGCAGTTGCTTTGTAGCTTTATCCATACACATAAATAGTACTTTCCTGGACAAAGGCTCATCCAGCCAAATGCGATCGAAACTTTTGGCCGTGTCACAATAACTACCAATACCACATTTTACAGGCTTAAATGGCATGATTGAAGAAAAAAAAGAGTCGATAATGAGAGGAGATGCCTGATTAGATAAATAGACATAGTTGCAACCTATTTTGTCATGAAGTCATCAAGATTTCCTCCGCTTTTATAGGCCTATTTAAGAGGCATTGACTATTACCTTTACAATGATTTGAGGATTGTTCATGAGGATCATTTGGGATTAGAGACAATCAACATTCAATAAGAGGAGTACTAAAACACACAAGTGAGTTTCTCATCAAAATTTGAAAAAGAATGGCTGGGGGAAGTTTTGCTGCTTACGGCCGGAGAAAAATCTACGAAGATCGTGTCACTACCTTTGCGGTGATCACTTGTATAGTTGCTGCAATGGGAGGTCTCCTCATGGGATATGATATTGGAATTTCAGGAGGCTTGACCTCAATGGAATCATTTCTGAAGAAGTTTTTCCCATCAGTTTTAGAAAAGAAGAAACGTGCGGCTGCTCATGAAAGCGAGTACTGCAAATTCGATAGCCAGCTACTAACATTATTCAACTCTTCGATCTACCTTGCCGCTTTGATATCCTCCGTTTTTGCTTCTGTGGTGACAATAATCTTTGGTCGAAAAGCTTCCATGGTTATTGGAGGCATTGCTTTTCTTATTGGCTCCATCGTTAATGGTATTGCCATGAATATGATAATGTTAATCATTGGCCGCTTGATGCTTGGTGTGGGTGTTGGATTTGTGAACCAGGTAAAAAATTTTTCTTTTATTTCCCCTTCTTTATAATCTAACATCATTTCTGTCTCAAAAAACTAACGTCATACACACACACACACACACACACACACACACACACACATATATATATATATATATATCCATGGCAGTCTGTTCCGGTTTATATATCAGAAATGGCACCAGCTAAGATTAGAGGAGCTTTGAACGCTGGTTTCCAAATGGCCGCTACCATTGGGATTCTAACAGCTTCTTTTATCAACTATGGGGCATGGGAGATAGAGGGTGGATGGGGATGGAGAATTTCTTTAGCTCTTGAAAGCGTTCCTGCGATAATGGTGGCTATCGGAGCTGTCTTATTACCGGACACTCCCACTTCCATGATTGAGAGAGGCTACATTAAACAGGCAAAACTAATGTTACAAAGGATTCGTGGCACTCAGGATGTCAATGATGAATTCAATGACCTCGTTGAGGCAAGCGAAGCTGCAAAAAAAGTTGAAGTACACCCTTGGAGGAGCATCCTCGAGCCAAGACATAGGCCTTATCTCGTCATTTGCACTCTCGTCCCGTTCTTCCAGCAGCTCACTGGCATCAATGTTGTCGTATTTTATGCGCCTGTTCTCTTCAAGACTTTAGGCTTAGGTCACTTCGCCTTACTTATGACTGCGGTTATATGTGGTTTAGTGAATATGCTTGCCACGATTGTTGCCATCTACTCAGTTGACACGACGGGAAGAAGGATTTTATTCCTTGAAGGCGGCGTGCAAATGTTTCTTTGCCAGGTAGCTACCTTTAATTATTTTACACACTTAATTTTCGTTCTCCATAGAATTAAGAATTTGTGATTGAATATGTGGTTAATTTGCTTCTTTATTTGACATATATAGATTGTGTACGGAACCACGATAGCCTTGCAGGTTGGGACCAATAGTGAGGGGACCTTATCAAAAACCGCGGCCAATCTTCTGTTGTTGCTAATCTGCTTGTACGTAGCAGGATTTGCGTGGTCTTGGGGGCCAATGGCATGGTTGATACCGAGTGAGATTTGCCCTCTAGAGATCCGATCAGCTGGACAAGCAATTAATGTCTCAGTTAACATGCTCTTCACCTTCATAGTTGCTCATGTCTTCCTCTCCATGCTTTGTCACACGAAGTTTGTTCTCTTCTTCATCTTCGCCGGCTTTGTTTTGACAATGACCATTTTCATTGCCTTGTTTTTGCCTGAGACAAAGAACGTCCCCATTGAAATGATGAACACAGTCTTGAAGGCACATTGGTTCTGGGGAAAGTACATCCCAGATGAAGACGTCATCGGCAACCCATCTTCCAGAGGCAAGGCTGTTTCGTAACCAAAAATGCAAAGGCCACTTGAAAGCCAAAGCAAAAGTGAGACAGCAAATAAAGAATTTAGATCCCCCTTTGTTGGGTTTTGATTAGTTACTTTTATTTGTTGGCCAGATATTAATTTTAAAATTTTTTTAGACATGTAATCATTATAAAAAACTTAGAAAGATAAAATGTTCGTTTTTCTTTTTTTTTTTTTCCAGAAGAGAATGAATTATTATTGATTGTAAAACGCTCGAGTACATCAGCAGCACTAAACTCTACATTTAACCAGTACATTAATCACCTCTCGAAGTCTTTATTCCTGCAGGATATATGAGACCTATTAAAAGGATCTTCCACCTACGGGATTCAACTCTTTTAATACCTCCTGTGGTGGTGAAGGATACAATGTTTGGTTAGTGATTAGAAATAAAAGAATGGTTGTGAATATGTTTTGAGATGAGACTTGTCATTGCAATTAATCTCGGATTTTTATAATGATTTTTTTTTGGGGTTAATGTTCAGAAACGTAAGAAATTGTTTCCTGTCTCTTTATTTTTTTATTATTTTGAATTTTAGATTTATAGTTCATTTGAGTTTGATCAGTTTAACTCTAACAACACATTTTTCTTTTTTATTATTCAATGGGACAAAACCTTACATTAAAAGGGAGGAAAAAAGTTGAAATTCGAACTTTAATCTTAATATCTTCTTTAAGATTATATTGACTGTTTGAAGACTTTAAGAACATATTTGTTCAAATAGAACAATCACTTTAATTTGATATTTAAACAATCTGGTATTGGTATTTGTTTTCTTTGTAAACTAAAATAAAGATGTTGACAACATAGCTAGTGTTTTCTTGTTTCGATGTTAAAAAGAAAAAAGAAAGGTATAAAACGTTACAATAGTAGCTCTGTGCCACTTGCAGCCAAACTTGAAAGGGGCATTGGAGGCAGGCGATTTTGCCTCCTTGGTCTTAAGTCTTAACTTTCAAACTCCTCCAGATGTTGTAAAACACTGAAATAAAGTTCCCCTTTAGACGCGTTCTTAGTTTTGTTTTTGATGGCACTGTCAAGAATCTTGAAATACCATCACATTCTCTACAAATCAACCCAACTAATTATACCAAATTCTTTGTTACTAATCTCCTGCAAAAACCCTTTTTCTTTCCCTGAAATCAACAAAGACCCATTTGCACAAAACATCGAAACTACAATTTTCTTTCATTAGATCAGATTAGCATCTCAAATGCCTTTCATTTCAGTCTTAATCAAACAACCTCTTTCACCGGATAAGCCAGAGCTCAAAACCTCGTACCACTTCTCACCCATAAAGCTGTCGAAGCCGTACTAAATAACCTCAAGAACTGGAGAATAGTTCACCTGTTTGTCACATGGGTTTCAAATCAACATGGTTATAACCAGAATGTTCATACTTGTAATGCCGTGGCCTCAATTCTATCACGTCCTCGACAAAATGCCCTACTACAAACTTTGGCTTTGGATGTCCTGAATTCCAATTGTTCTATGAATGCTCGGGCTTTGGGCCTTTTTATTAGGTTTTTGGAGAGTGATTGGTTGATTGATGGAGCTAATAACTTGTTTGATCAGGTTAAAAGAGGCAGGTCTTTGGGAACCCAATGATGTCTATAATTGTTTGTTAGAAGCTTTGTCCAAATATGGTTTTATTGACTTGGTTGAGATCAGATTGAAAGAGATGAGAGGTTTGGGGTTGGAATTTTATAAGTACACGCTGACCACAGTTTTGCAGGTTTATTGCAATGCTGGGCAGTTTGATAAGTCTTTGAGTGTGTTCAATGAGATATTTGAATGGGGTTGGTTGGATGAACATATTTTTTCCATCTTTGTTGTTGCCTTTAGTAAGTGGGGTGAAGTCGACAAGACAATTGAATTGATCGATAGTATGGAAGAGCATAATATGAGGGGTTTCTTTTGGCCAAGAAATGTGAGGTTGAATGAGAAGACATTTTTTGTTTTGATTCATGGATTTGTGAGGGAATATAGAATGGATAAAGCTCTTTGTGTGTTTGATAAAATGCGAAACTTGGGGTTTTATCCTAGTGTTTCGTTTTTTGAAGTGATGATTGAAGGGCTCTGTAAGAAAAATGAGCTTGAGAAGGCATTTTCTTTACATTCAGAAAAGAAAGAGCTGGGAATAATCCTTAATTTGGCATCCTGACAAAGCTGATATCTTCTTTTTCTACAGGAGAGTTGGATTGATTGCATAAAGATTGCTGGGAAGATATGAATTCACAACCTAAGAACCTGCTTTATAATTCTATTTTGAAGGGTCTTGTTTCCAATGGCTCAATAGATATAGCTTACGATCTTCTTAGAGCAGTAATGAGGAAGAACAGCAACGGCGATAGTATCATTGCTAAGTACTTCATGGATGAAAAGGAAGTAATAACCCTTAATAATAGTTAATTTGCTATTGTTATTAATGGCTTGCTTGATGCTGGTAAGGTGGATATGGCACTAATTCTCTAAGGAGAAATGGTTCAATTTGGTTGTAATTAAACTTTGTTGCTTTAGAACAATTTGATTGAAGCAGTGTGCAAGTTAAATAGACTGGAAGAGAGTTATGAGCTTTTGAGACGGATGAAGGAAGTTGGACTTGATCCAACCTAGTTTACACACCACTATATATTTGGGTGTCTTTGTCAGAGAGGATGCTGAAGGAGCTGTTGATTTGGTGAGAAAGATGTGTTTTTATGGAAGTATAAAACTTTGTGTCAACATGGGAAGGCAGTGGAAGCTTGCATATTTTTCACTGACATGGTACACGAAGGTTTTCTCCCTGATATAATTAGCTATTCTGCTGCAATGAATGGATTGATCAAAATTAAATCAGTGGAAAAGGATTTGGAGCTATTCCAACATATTTGTGCTCGTGGGTATTGTCCTGATGTGATTTCTTATAACATCTGATAAAAGCATTTTGTAAGGCCCAAAGAGTTGCTGAAGCTGAGCGTCTTTTGAAGGAGATGATGTTGAAAGGGCTTGTTCCTACTTCTCTCTATGGTGGATGGTGTAAAAATGGTGAGATTGGCCCAGCTATGCTTTGCCTGTAATTGATGGAAAAGAGAGGGAGGCATATGTGATTACTTACGCAGCTTTAATTGATGGATTATGCAATTTTGGAATAACTGATGATGCTTTAAAGCTATGGAATAAAATGGGGAGAAAAAGATGCGCTCCCAACAGAATTGCTTATCATTCTCTCACAAATGGACTTTCCAAGTATGATAGGTCCTCTGCAGCTCTAGTTCATTTCAATGAGATGAAAGAGAAGGAAATGAGACCTGACAGCTATGTCTATATTGCACTAATAAGTGCTTTTCTATCAGACACAAACTTACCCTCTGTTTTGGACATGTTAAAGGGGTGGTTGATGTAGGAAATTTACCAGACACACTAGATAAGAACTTTCTTATAATAAGAGATGCAATTTGTAAATTGTTAGAAGAAGTCATAACATCCTCTAGCATAAAAGATCTTATAGAAGCGAGCAGGATTCCAGATGTTAGTCTATCGGAAGGAGCTGAAGGTAGACATAGCCCACTATTTGATTCGGAGTCAGGTTAGATTGCAGTTAAAGTTAAAAGAGAGTTTGTTTATTCATGGAAGCATTGCATTTTAAGCCAAAAGAGAATTTGTTTATTCATGGAAACAATCGTCCTTTTCTGAGTCGCATTGTCTATATCAAGTGTTATGTGATCTTTTTTTTTTTTGGTAAGAAAAATCCAAGAGTAGACAAGCTATTCGGTCTTTCAGATTATGATAAAATGTATCGTATCTGATAGCCTAAGACAAATGACTGCAGGTCGTACATTCAAGATAATCTCAACAAGTGATCACCGACAAAACTCAAACTCAAGACTTCTTCATCGATAAAAACGAGCCTAATCAATTAAACCAACCACTTGTTGATCAAGTGTTATGTTATTAGATTCAGCATAGTGAAACGAGCTAAATTCCTTCCATTTTTTTTGTACGCCATTGTAAATTAGAACTTAATCGATGATACTAGAATCTTGAGACTGCTTGATGGGACTAGAGTAACAATATTTTTGGAGTTAATGTAAAAGATGGACATGGTATACTGCCATACCTATTATGTAAAAATTAAACAGAAAAGTATATCTTATGTGAAATGCACAAAATGTAGGTCAAATAATGCTGAGAAGAATCATTTGGTTGTTTTCTTTTTTTTATTTGGATGCCTGAATTCCCTCAACTCAAAATGAACAATGATGATGAAATTGAAAATCTGTTGAAAGTTAGGTCTTAATCTTATCCATAAGTTACATGTGATTTGCAGGTTTTTCGGGCTTAAGAATGACAATAGTTAAGTGCCCTGGGTTCAATATGCGAAGAAGGATGGGAAGCTCCACCACTCCAAGAACTGAAAGGGAGGAAGGAAACGTAACTTTCAAATGACGGTTTTCACACATTCCCAAAATACAGAAACTTGAACCCCTTGCTAATAAAAGAGACAGGACCTCCTCTTTGTACATGCTCCGTTTTTCAAGTACCCTTTCCCCATTTAAGCCCTTTATCCCCAGCCCATCTGACAGAAAGCATGGCAATTGATTTGGATGGGCAATATGGCTACACAGCCTGGCCTTCAAGCCTTTTGAATTCCATCTTCAAGTCCACAGTCAACATGGCAGCAGAGATGCTTGTCTCGGTGGCTTCAAGCTCAAAAGCTGACAACACAGAGAAGTGGAGGCCTACAGATCACTTGAGGTTCATGGTCATGCTAACGACTTGGCTGATGGTGTGGGTTCTTAGGTTTTTGATGGATCATTTCCCCTGCTCTCGGAGTTCTTCTCCGGACTATCTCCTCGGTGGCTTGTCGTCTGTTGGTCCATTCCAGCTAGCTTCATACTCATCACCATCAACAGAAGCATTGTCGTCTTCTGGTTCATCATTGAATTTGATACTTCACGACAGGGTTGATGGACCATCTTTTAAAGCCCTGGAAAGAGCACTAACTCATGTAAGTATATACAACTCCACATCCACCACCCGGAACCTTAAAATTTTCAAAGAGATCTTTTAGAACTTATCCCTTTTTTGGGGCCATTATTATGTTTCTCCCAAGTGTTTTAAAGTTTTACCGTCCATGGCAGGTTTAAAGAACCGTAATGTTATGTCACCCATGAAAAACAAGGTCCTCTTATGAACCCCCCCCCCCCCCCCCAAAAAAAAAAAAAAAATCCTAATTGACTGATTGAAAGATCTTTTTAGTGTCTAGAGTTTATAGTTTTTGGTTTTTTCTAATACTATTATCTTTCTTTTTGATCAGTACAAAAGTGATTTACCTGGATGGTTTTTCCCCTTTTTTATTATCAATACTCAAGTTTTAAACATTTATGACTATCATAATTATACAAAGTAAAATGGAATGCGTTTGGCATGAAGCGGTGCGGTGCGGTGGGATTCCTGCCACAGCGCTGCCTACCCCTTATTTTCCACTTGATGCCAAAAGGCACCTACCGATCACACATTTCACCATTGCAAGCTGCAAGGAATAAGTGACCTAATATGGGCTAGGAAGAAAGGGGAAAGACGTGGTGGCAAAATCAGAATACTAGCCAGAAGACAGTAAATGAGAAAAAAGTATTAGCATAAAAGAGGACACGAAAATAGAAAATTAGAAGAATGGTGAAATACTGGAACATCCAAGACAAGTCCAACAAAATGGAGGCGATGCCACGTATGTCTTTTAAAACAAAGAGAAACACATGGTCTTTGCATGCGGAATTTTACAAGCATCAATGCACTATCTCTATCATGTGCACAGCATCTTCACACTGAGCAGTGAACACCCGGGCCTGGCCTCTAGACAGACCCCTAATGATTCACAAACACCCTCTTTCAGCTCCCACCTCCCTGTTTATCATTCTCGGATTTGGAAAATGTTCGCTGCTTCATTTTCTCCATGGTAATTGACATTTTTACCGTCAATCTTGAGAAAATAGGAGCAAGTTTGAGTGCCAGCTAAGCGACCCGCGACAATTAATCTGTTTCAGAAATCCAAGTCTCTCCCCTTTCTGCAATCTAATGATGAAAAACACCAGCATCATTGCTCTGTAAAACTATAATGATGTTAACACATCCTTGACCACCATTACGACAAGTGTGCCTACATGCAAAAGTTTCAAAGCTTTCTTGGGTACTTGTTCAATCTTTCAAGCGTGAGATAGTAATATTAATTACTACTAGTTCGTTATTACTAAAAGGGTGATTCTCTGTGTCGAGTTTACAAATTAATGAAGGAAAGATGAAAGTGTTCCATTTAATTAGTAATTGTGCACATGGATGCAGATTTTGGCCTTACTCAACGAGATACCGGCTTCATCAAGAAAATACCAGTTTACAATGGCGATGGCTGACAAGATAATGGAAGATAACGCTAGGAACGGCCACCCGGAGCTTCTCCATGTTAATCGAATGGCTCTCGGTCCGTCTTTTACATGTGCATCCGCCCTGATATACCACTCCTACAAATTCCAGAGCACGCCATCCGGAGAGGACGGTGAATCGTGGCACATGCGCGCCATCAAGGCTATTCCTTTCGGCTCGAGTATAGCATATTACATGAAGGGCATAAGCATTTGCTTTAATGCAGCATTTTCTTGGTTTGGCAGTGCCACTGGGCGTTTGCAGAGGAGGGAACCAGGAATTGCTAGAGGTGATGGACAGGATTACCATGGAAAGGTGATGGCTGAGAAGTTGGCACAAGAGTTACTGTGGATAACTAAAAAGCATAGGAGTTATGGGGATATTAATGAGGCTTTGGTGCAGTGGAGTTTTGCTTCTGGTTTGGCTTCTCTATCTCTCTCAGCTAGTCACTAGAGTTCAGGGCTGCATTGTTAAGATATCAGGTCATGTGTTATGATATCATAGAGAGTCATAAATCTCACGTTTGTTTATTAGAATTGATCTTAAGATATAACAGTTCACACTCTTTTCAACTTGTAAGATATTTTTTATGAGATAAAACAATAAGATAAAATGAGTTAAAACGGATAATATCTCACAAGTTAGTGTAAATCGTTACATTTGGTATTAGAACTGACTCTGAAAATATTAACGATGTGTCACCAAAGATATTGGGTCTTCATTGGAGTAAAAGATGATGTCATGATCTTAAAAATAAATCATAAATCTCATATCGACTGTATATTAAAATTAATCTTGAGATATAAAAATTTATATCCTGATAAAGTTTTTATGAGATAAAATCATAAGACCAAAAAAATTAAAATAAATAACACCTCATAAATTAATGTAGACCGTGATATCATGCCTGCCGCACATTATGCCTTTTAATCCATGTAAGCTAAACTTTAGAAACTAAAACATTTATAGTACCAAATTGTTCACTTAGGTTTTCTTTCTGCAGCCATTTTATTTGGGGAGCGGACTCGAAATGACTTGCAAATTTCAAGGCAAGTGAAGTTCCGGCTGCTGGGGCTTTGGATTCCATTGTTTTGCCATGCAAGCAATGGGCTTTGCTATCCTGTCTTAACGAGTTTTCAGAAGGCAGAGTTAGAGAGAGCAATGGACGAAGTAATCTCCAGTTTCCCTGCAATGGATCAAGAAGTTATCCTCACCAATTGGATTCAAGAATATGCTGTATCTGTCTCTGATTGGCCAAATCTTCGACAATCTTATGATCGCTGGTGCCAATTTACTCGAGAGCTAATTACATAAATGCAGAGAACGTACGGCACCTTAGAAATAAGTGCATGATGCCCTTATTTTGTAGTTTCCATCCTTATTCTGTAACTTACAGTTGAATAGTACTCGCTAACCAGCAACGTATTACCTTTCTCTCTAATTCGTTAATGGAAATGTTCACCGCTATGGGGATTTATCCAATTCAATAGTTAGAGCAAACAAGGTACAGCAATGCATGTGTTTGCGGGTGGGGAAGACAAACCCACTGATGATCTAATCCTTCTCTTATGACTTGTCACTTCAATCATGATGAAAGAAATTGAAATTTGAACAAGTACAAAATCAGCTTCAAGGCAAAATTTCTATTTCTAATTTACAGTTTCAGATTTCCAGTTTTCATTTTGGAAAAACAATAGTAAGTAGTATTATTTTGAAATACCTAAAAAAAAAAAATTGAAATATCATGTTTTTCCTTTGTATTTGAATAGAACGTTTTTCTTGTATAAAAGAAAAGGAAATCGGGTGATCCAACTTCAAGTGGCACGCCTACCTCTTCAATTCAAGTCGGCTCTCCTTATTTTCGGATAGCTCTGACCCCTTTTCTTTCTACCTCTTACTTTCGTATAATTTTTTTTTGGTGACATACTTTCCTAATTAAAAAGGAGGTTTTAATTTTTATATATTTAATATTATAGATTTAAATTACTTAAAAAGGAATAATATTAATTTATTTTTTAATAATAATGATGTATCATATTTTTATTATCAAAAAATAAAAATAATTGAAAAAATCAATTTTAACTGTAACAAAAAAAAGTAAAACTATTAAATATTTAAAAAACAAAAATACTTTATTTTGAGATATAAAAAAAATAGACAAATAAAAACGATGGATGACTGATTAAATGATAAAGAGAGTCTTATTATTTGAATTTGAATTTATCCTAAAATTATTAAAAAAAAAAGATTCTAACAAATTCGTTAAAATTTTACATAAATAAATTTATTTAAATTAATAAAAAAATACTGAACAAAGTTTAAAATCTTTATATCCTTTGATAAAAATTTATTTAAATTAATAAAAAAAATACTGAACAAAGTTTAAAATCTTTTTACCCTTTGTTAAAGACATCTTTTTTTTTTTTTAATTGGCCAAAAAGAACTTTCTTTTTTAACGTTAACTATTATTTTCCTTTAAAAAGAAGAAATTCAAGTTTTTCAATCAGCCGTCTCTCTCTCTCTCCTCTTTTGTCTCTGTTTAGATTCTTGAGTTATTTTCCAATTCGATCGAATTTAAACCTACCCCTGATCTCTCATTCTTGTTAATTGCTTTTAATTTATGCCAATGTTAAGAGTGTTTACTAAAGTTTTGCTAATTTGCAGGAGGAATTGTTACCTTAGTGGATCAAGGAGGTAACTCTCAGGTACAAATTATTGTAAATACAAGTTCTCAGCTGGAATTCCATGCATATATATGAATCCTTAGGTTCCTTTATGAAAAAAGTTTTCAATAAGATAAATAGTTTGCGAGCATAGGGTATAAATATCTCCATTCATTGCCCTCTATGTTGCTTTCTTTGCTTAGATGCCTCTTTGGCTGACCTTCTTAGTTTGGAACTGTGATTTAATGTTGTCATTAGTGGGGTATTTTACTTGAAACAGATTTAAAGTGAATGGCTTGATGTTATCTAGACTTTGGTCTCCATATAAGTGTATTATGTTTAGAGTTCTTGCTTGTTGGTCACATTTTCTATGGAGAGGATGTTAACCGGGAATTACTATTTGTTGTCCTACCTATAGGAAGGGTGCTTTCGTTTTACTTGGTAAGAGGAATAAGTTAGTAGTTTGCCTCTTTGATTCTGGTCACCTGGTTTTTAGTTTTTGTTTGTTTTATTTTTTTATTTTTTATCCTTCACTATTAAATGAAATACATGAACGATATATGTGACATATATCATTTATGCATGCTTGCACGTGTGTTTGTAAATATTCAGATGGTCCCCTATTCTCATTTTACATTCTTTCCTACATGCCTGCAAGATTGAAAACTGCAATAATATATCAGGTAGCATGTCAGGTCCTCACTTCCTTGATTGCAAAAATTTTCACAAATATGTATGATCATAGCTAACAAAATTGTTGTGTGTGTTTGTGCTTGAAAAGCTTATATATTTAAGAAGAGTTTTTACTGGAATGTCACTAAAGCTAAAATCTTAGCAAGTTAATTCCAATGTGGTGCCTGGGATGGCTACATTTGGGTTTTACTCCTCTTGCCATCATTAAATCACAATGGTCATTAAATTATCTGATATCTATTAGCCTTTTAGTATTTAGTTAAAATGCACATATACTAATATTAGCACTTAATTCCCTCTTGGTGGTCACCTCATATCTTCAACTAGAATAGTATTAATGCATTTGGTTGTTACTTTTAAATTGGTATAATCAGGGTTCCCCATTTGACCATCCCTTCTCTTTTCTCTATACCTGAAGCACTGGCTTATGTCTCTCCCTCTGTATTATTGGTTGATAATATCATGTCTGGTTCTGTTTTAGGGTTCTACATGTAAGGGTTTTTCATTTACATTTAGAACTTCTCTTATTGGGAATGTTTTGGTGATAATAGAGTATTTACAGCAGTCAACCTTTTTCATATTAACAATGCTGAGAATAATAGCTGTTGACAGCATGAAAGGCATGGATCCTATTGTGATTGGTTTGGAATTTGTGGTTATCATATGTTATAGTTCTCACCATTTTTTCTTTGCAGCCCACTGTTGGATTATATATTTCTCTCTGCACATAGTCATTGTCTGATATCAAGTCCATTGGAGAATAGAAGCTAGTCCTGTTTTACACCGGTCTTAATGAGATTTGACTAAGAATTTTCGTGAAATATCAAATGCATGTACAATTACCTTGACATTTGGCATGCTGGATAGAACAAGATTTCTCTCTCTCTCTCTCTCTCTCTCTCTCTCAAGCTGTGCTGGAGCTTATTGTTTCACTTTATTTCAAGTCTGAGTCTTTTGGTGACATGCATTTGCAGGATACATGGGAGGAAGTTGATCCTGATGAGCTTTCATATGAGGTAAGCTGCCCTGTGGATTGTACTGCTTTAACATTTTCCTTAAGCACTTTTACTAAGCTTGATTCTTTTAGGAACTCCTTGCACTTGGTGAAGTAGTTGGAATTGAGAGCAGAGGGCTTTCAGCTGATTCAATTGCATCCTTGCCTTCATTAACATACAAGGCAGAAAGCAGTCAGACCGGAAATAATGATTCGTAAGTCGAATGCCGTATTTTTTATTCCTGAACTTTTTTCACTTGATGATGAAACTTTTATCCTTGTTTTCAGGTGTGTCATCTGCCTTGTAGGCTATGAGGATGGTGACTCCTTGACAGTGCTTTCTTGCAAGCATTCATATCATCCCGAGTGCATAAATGATTGGTTGAAAATAAATAAGGTACTCTTATTTACATTTTCATTCAATTGCCTTCAATTTGTTTGTGCTATGTAGAGTGTGCTTGGTAGAGTAGAAAAGTGGAACGATGGATAGAAGAGGGTGGGAAAATAGAAAAAAAATTAATCTTGACTGTACTTGGTAGGAGAGAAAAGTTGGTGGAAAGAAAATAGGAAAGCTGATTATTTTTCACCTTTATTCATAAAAACAAATCGTTCCAAATTGGAAAGACAGGAGAGAAAATGAAGAGGTGTGAGTAATGCATTGCATATTTATAACATTGTTCATTATTTTTAAAATTTTTTTATTTTTACTTACAAAATGTATAATGATAAAATAGTATAATTTTTATTTTATTTTCTTTTGTTTTTCAACTCTACCAAGCAATAAAGGAAAAGAAAATTATTTTTCTCTTCACTTTTTCATATTTCCTTCCAAGCATACCATGAAGAAAAATGTTTTTTTTTTTTTTAATCTTTTCACTTCTCTCTCTCTCCAATTTTTCATCTTTACGTTTTTCTATCCACCCTGGCAATCCAAATCACAATGTTTATAAAGTATCAGTGGCTTGCGAGGACATTTGAAGTATCTTCCTGTTAATGTTTTCATCAAAAGACATACCAGGGAATTTCTTCCTTCTTCTTGTTTTGAAGTTCTGACCCCCTTTAGTATTTCTTTCCTGGGCTTTTGTTGTATTATACATGTTAGAATACTGGTTTATATGACCATTGTATGCTTCCAGAACTTTTTATAAACATACATGCAACTAGGTACCAAAAATGTTTTGTTGTGTTACTGCAGGTCTGTCCTGTTTGTAGTGCTGAGGTCTCTATCTCAGGTCAGAGCTAGTATTTTTGGACAATCCTCTTCCTCAAGCCACAAGGCACCTGCTTGTTTTTAATACTCTGAATGTACCATCTTTTGATGGGCAAAGAGTTGTATCAACACATCTAGCCTAGGCCTCGATCTTTCTTGATCTCTTGCCCACAATTAGTAGGGCAAGGATCATTGTTGCTGTTATACGACTTACTTGGGCTTGATTTCCAAAAGGCTACAAAATTTATGGTAGAAAATAAATATTCAAGTAGCCCTTACAAAAATATGAGAGTTTGAAAGGTTGATCCAAACCAATTTAGAGATAAAACAACATTAGACCTAAATCAAATAAAAGTAACAACATTTGCAGTGAGTAACAAGTCAATTAAGTGAAGTCAATAAATTAATATAATTTAAAATTTTAATATGAAGCCTTGATCGTTGGTAAATTTTTTAAATCAATTTCATTATGAGTTTTACTTCGAAATAGTGTTGAGTATTGTCAAGATTATTGGTTTTTTTTATTTAAATTTAGTTGCCCCAATATTATTTTTAAAAAATCTTTTTATTAGCTAAAATAAGAAGAAAACAACTTTTTAAAAAAGTTAAAACCATTTAATTGTAATTAAATTACAAAATAATGCTACTAAAACTCTAAAAGTTTTTTTTTTGGGTTTTTCTTAAAAATTAGTATTTTTTAAAGACAAAATAACTAATTTACTAAATTTAGTAATTTAATTCATCTAACAATCTATTTGTAATTAAATTACAAAGTAACTAAATTACTATACCCATAAACATTTAATTCATCTAATAATTTTCTAATAAACAACCAATTTGATATCAACTATTAAATTATATAAAAAAAACACAAATAAAAATAAGTAATGATTAAAAAGTCTGAAATCTAAGGTATTATTCAAGCAATTATTAATATAAAAATTAATTTAAAATTAGGGTTTGAAAAAAATTGCACACAATCCGCAATATCAACTATTGAATTCTACTTGAGTGAATGCTTTGTTTTCGTAGTAGACTTCAGAGATTGCCTTTGTTTTTTTTTTTTTTTCTTTTTTTAAATAAGAAAATGGGATATTTCAATAATTAAGACAAGATAGATAGAGAGTAATCCTTTCCAGGGAACTAGAATATTGTCCCCGCTTCATTGGGAAACTTCTTTTTTTTTCCAATATTTATTGATTTATTACTTAAATTAATATTTAGAAATAATTTTAAATTAAATTATAATTATTTATTTAAATAATATCCATTTTGTATGTTTTAATGGAGTATATATCAAAATTGATATAACTTTATTTTATTAATTATGAAAATTAATTCTTACTAATTAAATAATACAAATGTATTTTCAAGTGCAATTTATATATATATGTTTTAAAATATTTATATTTTATTGTATAATTTAATTTATTTTTGAGATTATATTTATCATCATTTATAATAAAAAATAATCTAAAAATTATAAATTGAAATATTTTAATATTATCCTCATTTAAAACATAATCTCAAAAATAAATTTTCTAAAATTAAAAAATAGCTTTTATTTTTGTTAATAAATATCAAAATTTTATATTAATAATAAATATCATTAGAAACCATTATTTTTATTATTAATGTTAACATAAAATAAAATAATTTAAAAATAAAAGAATTATACAAAACTTAGTATTTAAAGTTTAGCTCAAAACAAAAAATAAAAACCAAATGGCTAAAAAATGGAATGACCTATCTGAATAGAAGGATGTACCCTTTTTTACATTTTTTTTTTCCAAAAAACGATACACTTTTAACATTGACCTTATAAAATCAAAAAAATAAAAGATAAAAAAATAAAGTGACCAATTGTCGCATAATTCAAGTCTTTAAAATTGAAATTTTGCAATCAGATTGAGTTGGAGACAAAAATAATAGTAAGCTATTGATTGATGATTTGAAATAGAGATGTTTTTCATTTATTTTTTATATTTTCAAAAGAGAAGTAACTATTTAATATTTTACAAATTCATCTTTTGTATCTTAAGATTCGAATCAAACACCTTTAGATACTATAAACAATTATTTAGATAAGTTTTTTTAATATCACACCTTCAATACTATAAACAATTATGTAGGTAATTGTTTATTTATTTTTAAAAAATCACACCCAATCCGATATTCAAAATAGAAGAATTTTGAACTCATAAAATTTTAATATTATCTATTTCTAGACAAAAACAAATTGATGGGGATGACAATGATAAAATCATTTATATAATATAATCTTTATTCTCAATTTAAAAAATATTTAAGAAAAGAAGAATTTAAAATAAAATAGTAATTGAATTAAAGAAAAAATAATCATATTTATGATTTTAAATATTAATCATATTCATGGATGAAGAGGTATTAAAGAGCATTTTAGTCTACGAGGTACTTGCTAAAGGTTTTATGTTCCCAAGAGGACTAAACCAAGAACTGAACAATATAATGAATAAGTTTTTGTGGAATCGTGGAAAGGAACGAAGAGGAGTACATTGGCTCCCTTTGAAGAACTTTGTAGGGGTAAGGGGGAAGGTGGAATGGGCTTTAGAGAAAAGGAATGTTTCAACAAAGCATTATTAACAAAGCAGGGGTGGCGTTTGTTGTAGAATACTTCATCATTAGCATATCGAGGGTTGAAGGGAAAATACTTTCCTACAACTTCATTTCCCGAGGCCAGAGAGGGTTGATCCCCATCATACATATGCCGTAGTATCTGCATAAGGCAAGAGGTGTTGCAGTTGGGAGCAAGATGGAGGGTAGGAAATGGGGAGAAGATAAATGTTTGGAGGTACCCATGGATACCAATAGGAAACAACTTTGTCCCAAACCCAAAGGACAATATGATACCTACGAAAACTATAGTCAATGATCTGATCAATGTGACAACCAAAACGTGGGACATAGGGAGATTGGAAAGTTTGTTTAACAGTGATGTTGTACCAGCCATTATGGCGATGTCACTGTGTTGTATGGGTAGTCAGGACGTACAGATATGGCATTATAACAAAGATGTTAGTACAATGTTAGGAGTGGATACAAACTACTTATTTCTATGAACCTCTAGAATGATGAGATCCAAAGTGACAAAAGTGGAGGCAAGAGTGTACGTGCAATGCAGACATGCAAGGGGCAACGAAAGGGGATATGGAAGGCAAATCTCCCAAATAAGATCAAGGTCATTTGTATGCCAGATGTGTCACGAGATTCTTCCTATATATGCAAACTTGATAAGATGGAGGATTAGGGAGATGGTTACGTATCTGAGATGCTGCCAAAATGAAGAGACGGTAGTGCAGCCATAGTAGAGTGCTCGCATGCAACATAGGTATGGAAGGAAGCAAAATTGGACATGGAAAAGGAAAGACAACAATGGCAAGATACCAATGAGTGGTTGAACATAATAGCAGGGGTGGAGTGTGAAGTGGTGGAAGGGTATTCACCTTAGCCTGGCCCATATAGTCCAGTGGAAACGATGCTATCATAAATGGAATAATGAGAAAATATCAGGATATTACAAAGTTTGCATGCAACTACCTGGAAGAGTATAAACGTGCTCAACAAAGGAAGAGTGAGCAGGGACCCAACCAACAGATAAAGTGGAAAGCACCCTTGGAAAACAATATCAAGATTAATTTTAATGGAGCTTTGGTTTCTACTGGGGAACTGGTGGAATAGGGGTAGTGGCCAGGAATTATATAAGAGAAATTATGGGAGCCATGTGCAAACAAGTGGGAGGCTATCTGGATGCTGCAACAATTAAAGCTTTGGCAGCAATGGAGATAGTGAAATGGGGGCTTGCGATGGGTACCAGTGGATTAAACTTGCAGGAAATGCACAAGTTATCTTAAAACAAATCACACAGGAGGGTAGAAATCTATCTCCGGTTGGGCATATTATAGATTAAGCCAAACTTTCATTACACAACTTTATTGAGTGAAAATGCATGTTTGTTAGGCGTGAAACGAATGCTGTTTCCCATCATATGGCAACGATGACTTTATGACAAAATGAGGCAGTACAATGGGTAGATGATTCTCCAAAAAAATTTATCTGTACTTGCTGAATATGACAAGATGAGCAATGAAGTTTATATTTTATTTTTCAAGCAAAAAGAAAGTCTTACATTTCTTTTAGCATTAAAGACCATTTATTTTTAGCCCTTCCTCGATTATGGTCGCCAGATACAGATGCCAGGCAATAGTCGGCGGTTTGTCTTATTACTAACATAGGTCGAATCCGATTATATGTATGGATTTTAGGTTCAACATGCGGATCGTTTGGGCAGGTTGTTGTTGACCCGTTTTCCTTTATTCCAAACGATATCGTTTTGGATTTCCTATAAAATCTTTTTTACATACTTTTTCTTCATTTTTTTAGATTTTTTTTCTCTTTCTATGTTTTTCTCTCTCTAAACTCTCTCTCCGTTTGATCCGAAAATCAAATAGCTTAGAAACCAACCATCCTCCACCTTAAGCTCCACCGTTTGCCACCTTAGGCCGCCATCCACTGGCTTCAAAATCCTCTCAAATTTTGCCGAATAAATCTTCTTAACACCCTCACTCCTTTTATCATATTTTTTTTCCCAAAAAATTAATCAAACATCCTAAATCTAAAACTAAGAATTCGGATTATTACTACTCAGAAATACCTCCTACCATCGTCCAAATAATCTAATGACCGCTAAAAATTTTTCTGCTCCTCCTTAGTTTAGAAATGCAGAAAAAACCCTAGAAACAAAGGAGTCAGAAACACTAAACTTTATTGCCATCAATTTTTTTGCTTTATACCGGATGATGAAATCGTGTTGTTGTTATTATTATTATTATTATTATTATTGTGTTTGTCTTCCTTGTATATTGAACTGAAATTTTTTTTGGTGTTTTTGGGTATGGTTGTTGATTTCCTTAATGATTGCTTGATTTGGTTCTTAAGTTTTGTTGGGTTGATTATGGGTTCTTACTGCCGATAGAGTAATTGCTGCTTTTTTTTCTTATTTTATTCAGGGATAAAACACACTTTATATAACAGGTTTCAAAATTAACCCTAAAATTATTTTTAATGTCAACGCTGAATTGGTTTCAAAAGTGGGAGTAAGGGATAACTTTAATTATTTATACTAAAACTAGTTGTTGTACCCACGCTTCGCTGCAAGGTATTAGGAACAATGGGTATTCACTTACGAAAAGGTACTATTTAACTGTAAAAGCATGTGATGTAGTACAGCTAAAGTTAAAACCGCAAACATAAGCCAAAAGTTTTTTACAAAAAATATGCTCCATAGTTAGTTATAAGTCTTAAATAACTCTTAACAAAAGTGGAAGCATCAGTTAAGACTACGGTGGATAAAGAGTTTTACAAAATGACAACATTAGCTTTTTCATGGTTGGTCGGTGTGATAGATGAAAACATTGAACTTGCAGTATACAACCTTGTAGAATATGCATTGATTGCTAGGATTAAGGTGTTTATCAATGGTGAAACGACGCCAATCACTTGAGAAAGATTTGTTGTCGCTTGTGTAGATGTAATGGATATGCCATTCTTTTAGATCTTTTTTCATGATGTTATCATTGTTGTCAATTGGGAGTTTTGGTTCATGTTCTGGTAGAGTAAGAATGAGATCAACTGGATGGTGTGAAAGATATTGTTTAGCGAATGTTGTAAAGACATGCTATATAAAAAATAACATTGTTATGGATTAGATATATCAATAAGATAAACTAGAGCATTCTATTTTTGTATATCAATAATTCACATTATTAATATGTATAATGAGATTGATTGCAAGCATTGAAGTATAAGGAAGTTTTTTTTTTTATCAAAATATAAAATGTTCAGGCATTTGTTATAGTTAATGTCATTAAAAAAGAGTGAAAGTTGATTGTTTGAGTCTAAATCTGAACTTGACTCTTCAACTTTGTAACTTCAGAATGTGATTGTTGTCACCTTTCTATAAAAATTAAAAATAAAATATTAAATTGTTCATTTTAAGTTATGTCATATATTTTGAGTTATCATGTGAGTCTTAGTAAATAAGATTATACATTTCCTTCTCTGGATGTCAACAGGAGTATATAGAAAATGACTACAAAGTCATCCAAAAAATAAAAAAGAAATATAAGCATTTATTCCACAAAAAAATGCAAAAAATATAACTATGCTAAACAGAAAAAACAACAGAGAACAAACCTTATTTAAAAAAAAAAAAAAATGCAAAAGCAAAAAGGTAACAAACTGTGTAAGAACAGAAGCAGGAATGTAAAAACATAGAATTAACTTCCCATATAAAATTTGTTTTTCCTATTTAACCTTTCAATAAAATTTTTATTACATGAATAACTTGTTATAACATTAATGGACAAGTCACAACAACAATCTCAATCCAACATTTCTATCCCCAAAAATAACTTTCAACTTTTTCTAAAGACAAACAATATATATCCCCAACTTGGTCTTTCAAAGGTTATGTACAGCTTTTTTCATTTAACCTTTCAATAAATTTTTTATCACATGAATGAGTTATCATAACACTAATGGACAACTTACAACAACTACATCAATCCAACATTTTATATCCAAAAATAACCTTCAACTATTTTTAAACCCAAACAATATTTGTAAACACATACAACAGTCTCATTTTTTTTATCCCTAAAGCTAACCCTAAATTCTTTTTAAATTCATTGAATAGTTGTCCCTAAATCAACATTTCAAAGTCTACGAGGACAACTTTAATTGTTAATAACCCGTCTTGTCTCTTCCTTAGACACCCAATCAATCCATTACGCTGGGAGATCGATCTAATTTGCAAGTTTTAAAATCAATTTGCTTTTTGTATAAAAAATCGATCAATATTTTTTCAAAGGAGATTAATCAATTTTTGTTATTGTAAAATGATTGATCTATAATCCAAGGGAAAAGATTTATTTTTGCAAATTTTGAATTAAAAACTACATTTATACTTTTAAAAATATAATCATTGTAAATTTTTTGTTTCAAATAAAAATTACGTTTTTACTTACAGAAATGTAGTATTTGTATTTTTTTTAATAAAAGATTACGTTTCTACTTTTAAAAACGTAATCTTTGTAAATTTTTTTAATCAAAAGCTACGTTTCTATAAACTCAAACATAGTCTTTGTAAAACATTTTTTTCAATCAAAGACTATGTATCAACTTTCACATTCTACTTTCATAAACGTAGTGATAAACAATTTTTTTTCAATCAAACACTACATTCAAGCAATGTAAGAACAGAAGCAAGAGTGCAAAAACATATAATTAACTTCTCGTATAAATTTTGTTTTCCCCATTTAACGCTTCAATAAATTTTTTATTACATAAATGACTTGTTATAACTTAATGGACAACTCACATCAACCACCTCAATCCAACATTTTTATCCCCAAAAATAACCTTAAACTCTTTTTAAATATAGATAATATATGTCCTCAAATCTGTATTTCAAAGACTATCAAACAATTTTTCCCATTTAACCCTTTAATATTTTTTTATCAGATGAATGAGTTGTCATAACACTAATGAACAACTCACAACAACCACCTCAATCCAACATTTTTATGCCCAAAAATAATCTTAAACCATTTTTAAATATAGACAATATCTGTAAACAAACACAATAATCTCATACTTTTTATCCACAAATCTAACATTGAATTGTTTTTAAATATATTGAATAGCTGTACCCAAATAAGTGTTTCAAAGACAATGGGACAGTTTTAATTGTTAGTATAGATAGGTGTGTTATCTCTTTCTCTTAGAAAGTACACCACAGATATTTATTAAAGTTTAACTCTAAAGTTTAACACAGTTGATTGATACAATTACTTTTAATTAGTGTCATCTAGCAAGTTTAGGATTTAAATCTTAACACATGCAACCCTCACTTATTCTCGCGCTACAGCCTACTACATAAAAAAAAAAAAAAAAAAAATCAGAAACACACAGAAGGGGTATTAATCTTGGGTTGAAAGTTTAACTTCAGAAACATGAAAGCATAGCACACTCTCAAAACCAAATATATCTGAAAAATGTTTCTAATAGATTTGTGAACATAAGAATTGATTCCAATACTGACTCTGCCAGAGTATACCATCCTCTTAATTTTCATTCAGGAAACTCTTCTCAGAATTCTGCAGAATTGTAATCAAAAGGGTACTGTCAAGAGAGTTTCTCATGATGGATACAAGTTGCAAACAACTGAAAAGAGACATGGATTGGATGAATAATATATCACTTGATGCAATTTCTTTAGCAACTTCTATACTAAGGAAGTAAGGATCCATTATGATACTTTCTCATTCAGTCATTTATTTTCTTTACGGAAATAATGTAGTTACAGTTCACTCAGCAATTGCCTGTTTGTCTACTGCTTTGAAGTAGTTCCTACTGGTTTTAAGGTCCAACAAGCCAACTAATTTTGTTGTAATAAACTCTCAACTTGTAGCTTCAGAACACTATGAAAAACTGTTGTATTTGTGAGTTCATTGGTGTAAAATCAAAATTCATAAAATTAGAGAATATGACTTCAAGAGGAGCTTTCCTTTGAACTTATTTCACTCTCACCATATATAGTGTGTAACAAGGTGAATCAAATAGCCATAGGATACAATGGAGCTCTTGTTTGACTTACTTTTTACTAATGAAATCAAACCACTAAAAACTTCCTGATGAGCAGCAAAATCTTATTTCTTATACCTAATGAGCAGCAAAATCTTATTTCTTATAGGTGTTTTTTTGCAAAGAATAATGCATAAGAGACTTAGTCTATTTCATATAAAGTGAAGAAAGGTTTTAGGTCGTGAATAGATTTTTTTTTCATCAAGTACTGTTGGAATGAATTTTATTTCTCTATTCATAAAGGATTTAATCAAGAGTTGTAACCCTTCTATTGTTTATTTGTTCAACTAATTTGTCTATTTGTTGAGTTCATATCTTTTGAAACTCAATAAATGCTCTTGTCAACCTTTTACAAGAGAAAAAACACGTTTTGAAAAGGTCTAATTACTTATGAAACAAAACTAACCATTGTTGTCCAATAGATGCAATTTACACTAGTTTCATACTTAATCGATTTCTTAATTTTTCTTTCATTTTGTTTTGAAGTAAAAACCAGAATTGAGAATACTAGATGCTTGATGTAACAAATATGACGAGTAAATGGTGGTGATTATACCATAGCTGCAATGCTAGCTAGACATTTGAATGTTGAAGGTTAGGCTGCGCAAGCTGGAGCTGATAAGAGTTAAATTGTTGAGGAATGGTTGCAAGCTGAAGCACACTACTAGGTTCTTCATAGAAGGGGAATTGATCCAGAACTTGCTGATGCTCCACTTGCTTAGCTTCTATTCCTTCCTGTTGATACTCTATTGCTGCTTGGTGTTCCTGAATCTGTGTGCATGTCACCAGGAAACCAACTCAAATAGTAATTTTTATCTCCCAAATAATTACATTTCCCTAGCTTTTCCTCTATTTCATCAGAAATTACCATCATGGATGATCCAATAAATTAGTGGTTACACAGATCTATGACAAAAATAAAGTTCCACTCAAATTCTCTACTTACCCATCGGTACATGTTGCTGTTTTCTTCCTGTAGCATTCGCTCCTAGATCATCCAAGTCCAAAATTATTGAATTAGCATCTTAGTTTAATTTGTGAGGGAAATTTAAAAAAAAAAAAGTGTTATTGCATCACCTTTCTACGTAGATTATCCAGCTGTTGTTGCAAGAGCTCATTCTGCAGTATTCCAAAAGAAGAAAATGGCGAAGGATAATATAAAAAAACTACCCAAAGATCAGTTCTCAAGAAAATCTTAAGAAAAGACAATTAGTGCTTCTAAACATTGTTCAACTTGTATCACAAATTGATTCCAGACATCCGTTTAGCTAAATATTCACAGGAAGGTCGATTCTGTATGTGTAGGGAGGGGAGAAAAGTGGGAAATATGATAAACAGTACCTTTCGGTCTCGGACCTTGTTGACAGAGCGTTCAAGTTCTTGTTCAAGTTGATCAAGCTCTTCAATTGGTATAGAGCTCATGTCCTCACCAGTATAGCGTCTCATGCTTAGTTGAAGATGATGGGTTTCTTTCCTCAACTCTGCCAATTCATTGTACAATTGTTCCTATATATGTTGTAAAAAAGATAAAATGAAAGGTTAAGACAAGAAAATTTTCCGAATACCTTGATATACATATAAGCCAAATCAATTTTTTAATGGCCTAATATAATAATTATATATACCCTGTTGTCATGCTCAGGAATGCAAGTTCCAGTCACCTTCTGATATCTTTCTATGATTTGCTCCATTCTGTGACAATATATATAGCTACGATAGGAATTAGAATTTTTATCCATAAAAGAATGAAAACAAAAAACAAAAAAGCTTCAATATGAAGCATGATAACCGCCCTATATACTTAATAAACCTCGTTCCTGCCTAGATGCTGCCTGATTAGCCATTATTATATTTTTCATTACAAGAAGTTGTTTCTGGGATTTGGTTGCAAAAAGGCTCTACCTCATGGATTTGGCATCCAATTGTTGATCCTCATGTCTAGATGTATAATCATTTAGCATCTAATTCTAATTAAAAAGGTTATAGAAAATGCTTGTCTCTGAGTAAAACTTCGTTCATATCTTTTTAGAGAAGGATATGCATCAGATTAAGAGTTTAAAAAGCCATGGATGTTTTACGCAGGCAGAATTTAAAATTCTATAGTACTACTTATTATATGCATGTTTATGTCTAACACCACTGAATGATGGAAAGGGTACAATTTACGTTACTTATGATTATAAGTTAATTTCATTTTAATCCTTAGAAATCAATAATTGCCAATCAACGATAAATATATATTTGATGCAAACCTGAACTCGGTTTCAATATATATGCAATAAAGACACTGTTGTGGTAGAGGCTAGAGCTAATTTTAATATAGTTTTATACATTTTTAACAGGCCATGCAGTTCTATTATTGAATCTCTCTTGAGGATGCTGTATACTTGAATCTCAGATTCTTGCTTTTTGTAAGAAAAAAAAAGTTTTATTTTGAAAAATGAGAGAAAAATGAATGTGTATGATATTTCTTGAACAGGAAATTGAAAACCGCTTGATAATTATAACAAAGCTAGACTAATCAGTCAATTATGAAAAGTAGGAAATTATCAGGTAGAGATCAGAAGATTATAAAAACTGAAAGTTAACCATCAGAAAGTTTACTTAGACATGAAAAGAAGCCATGGAAGAAACCCTAGCTAACTAGTTTTTGACAGAAACATGGCAGACGGAGGAGCAACACCACCCAATCTTGGTCCGTCAAATCAATTTCTCAAGCATTTTTTGGCCAAGGTAGAGAGGTCAAACTCAGGTCTCGATCTGAGCAAGTCATCGGATCATGGAAAAAGGGCTAGTTTTGTTCTAAGTAACATATAGATTCATGCAAACGTGCCCTACAGATGAAATGAAAAAAAAAAAAAAAAAAAGGAGAAAGGTGATGATGGAATAAGGGATAGAGAGACCTATAAGGCTCACTGCAGTACTGGCACATCTTGCCAGTGCTAGAGAAGATGATGAGCCCAATCTGAGCATCGCAAAGCACAGAAAGCTCGTGGGTCTTCTTCAAAAGCCCTGCTCGCCTCTTTGAAAAGGTTACTTGTCGAGTTGTCCGGTTTTCAATCCTCTTGATCGGTATCTTTCCACGTCCCATAATTACCCCAACAGGTACCTTAATCTTGTCTATCTCTAGTTAGGGAAAGATGAAATCATGGAATTATACTCTTTTTTCACTTCTAAAAACCACAAAAAGGTGCAAAAGCATTTAGGTCACACAAATAATAATAGAAAAAGAAGAAGAAAAAAAGGGTTTAAAAATGAAAGAGCTCTTAATAAAGAAGTTCAAATATGGGAACTAAAAGCTTCTGCAACCTAAAATAAGAATTTTGTATAGTTTTGTAGTTCATAAAAACAGGAAGAGAAGAGAGAAAAAAAAAAAAAAAAGAAAGGAAAGACAAAGATGACTGTGAATTTACCTATTCCTTGCTTGTAAAACTGCAGCTCTTTTGGTGAAGCGTGTAGGAGCAAGGAATTTATTCTATAAGCATGCTACTTTACGTTTTCTATAAACCCCATCTCTATCACCAAAACTACAAAATTGCGCCTATTTCTTTTTTGGTGTTTGATTCTTGCAGTTTTGATCTTGATCTTTAAAACTAAGTTTAATATTCTATTAATAGATTATATGATTATTTATAAATTGCACCTATTTCATTAGAAGTGGATTTACATGTTTAATTAAGATATTCATGAATATCTCCAAAGATTGAAAAACAATAAAATTTGAAGTAAAAAATTTTCTCATATACCTTAAAAAATTCATTAAAATATTATTTTTTTATTTATATATATTATAAGGGAACATTTAAAAAAAATTTGAATCCACTGGTATATCTCATTTTAAATTCCCATCTATAAGAAAAAATAGAACAAAAAAGAGATCAAAACCAACTGCAAAGGCTCTTCCACTGTGATTTTTAATTTGTTTTTCTTTTTCGTGGAGGACAAATCCCTTAATTGCATCACCCAAAATCAATGTTCCAGACCAGCTAAGGAGGGTTCATTAGTCTCAATGGATCGCCATTCACCACACCAATTTAACAATGATTTCAAGGGCTAGGAGCCAATAGTGGCATTATCAGTAATTTAATTGCGATGAGTATTCCTTTATTGTCCTATGCGGGAACATAGACAAAGGGGTGCTGTGACTCTTAACCACCCTTCTGATCTCATCTGCCAAGCAACCTGAAATTTACTAAATTTAGAAAATTTTTTACAATGTGTAGAAAATCATGGCAATCAGAAAGGGAAATTCAAGAAGGGCGGTCCACCAAAATCCTAAAGACCCCTAATGGGAAACGACAAACTGTAACAATCCCATGATAAAGACTTGGTTTTCATAGTTCATGGTATGGTCATTGAGCATCACAGCAACTTGAGGAAAATTAGAGGCCAAGTGAAAGTGAATTCTTTTACGCTTAAACCTTTCAGATGAAAAGGTAATTAAATACCATCTTTTCCCGACCACCCCCTAAAGCTCTATTTTTGCTGTAAATGGTTCCTTTGAAAGCTCTAATCAAACCCATTTCAGCTGGCCTATATAATATCCTATTTACTTTTTTGACTGCAAGAAACGAAAATGCAGCAACTATTCACCACACGCAATCTGAAAAAGGATCAAAAGTCATTGCGCTGAAACACCTAACGTTGATGAAATGAACCAGGAAAGTTATCATTATTTGCCTTCTCATTACATAGAAGATGCATTAAAAGTAATGCGAAATAAGGCCTCTTCTCATTTTAATTCCCACCAAATATTTATCGAAGTCATTAATTTGGAGCTGAGAAAAAGCAGCTTCAGTTCAACTGTTCTTTAACTGTGTTTCCGAATTTCGACAGTAATTCCAATGTTTTTTCATATCAAATCCTGAGAATGCATAGACATGTATTACCATATGTTGATACAAAAAGAATAAAATGAAAGAACTCTCCCAAAGAGTAAGCATCGCAGTGATATTAATTTTTTAGTTAGAAATTTGAACAATGCTTGGTTTTCAATGATCTCTTTTTCGGATTCCTGTTGAGCCGATGAGGGTTTTTGTTGTTTAATATGCATTTGTCTCATTCTATTTTTAGTAACAAGCTCTAGCCAGACAATTAATACATATTAGGTTTTCTAAAAGAAGATGCTAAGGCTAGCCATTGGTCCCCCACAGTTTGTCTGCCATTTCATTGCTTGTCATCATCATAATATCCCACTTAGCTCATAAACTGCAGCCACCAGCCATAATCACTGAAACAATTTCCTTCTCCCTCTTTTCAAATCTGTTGAAACCCCAGTCTCCTCAGTATGTTGAATACAATTATTTAATTATTTTTAGAAGTAGTATTGAGTGGGGTCTTTCTTTTTTATACGTAATTTGAAATAAAATGTGGAAGACCAGAAGGTTACCCTCTCACAAGTAGGAACTGATGAAGAAAATCGAAATGAGAACATGAGGCCTTACCAAAAATGGGAAGCGTCACAGAAGCGGTTTTGGGTCCACTTCCAGCCCTCATTTAGGGCTCAGATTCACATGGTCTTTGCCATGCATCTAAATTTGCATGATGTTTCATCATGATGACTATCAAATAAAGCAAAAGGGTAGCGCAAAGAGATGGCAACATGCACAAAACCCTGGTAAAGTTTTCTCCTTTTGGGCTTAATCATATGAGATTAATTCCCATTCTGATTGGATTAGTTTGACCAAATTTACTTCTTTTAGAATTAATCTAAAGGCACCACAAAATGCAAATGCATTTTGGTAATCCATTTTTCATAATATTTTCATTCAAAAATTTCATTTCTTTGTAGCTTATTAGTGTGCTTGTAAATCTTGACACCTGTATGAAACTATGAAATAGATTCAACCCATTTTTTTCTGCTTCAAATCAATTACTTCATATGGCTCACCAAGTCAATTGCTTCATGCACAACAGACTTGGTAAAGATGAAATTAACTTGAACCTTTATAAATTTCATCATAGATTGCAGGTTCAAGTCTATCATGATCCTAAAATGAAAAAACCTCCCCTTCCCTGGACTTCATTTTGCCAAAAAAAAAAAAAAAAACCTAATTCTTCATTTATATTACCGTCAACTAAACCAAACGAATGTGTGAAACTTTGTTGAGAATTGCAGTCCCAGGTAAAAATGTCCATGCGCTTTTACTTTGAGGAAAAATAACACTGTTCAACTTCAGAAGTCATAACTTTGAAAAACAAAATAAATATCAGTATGAAGAGCAGATCAGTTGCCATTGCCAGAATTCCCTTTGGTGAGTAAAGTCATTACACCAATCTTTCTTTGCCATTTGCAAAATAAAATACAATATGATACCGTGGTGAAAACAGTCAGAATAGCTACAAAAACAGATGGCACTAGGCCTCTATCATTTAGCAATAGCACTTGGACAAAAATACACAACCTACCCGTATCACCAGGCTCCAGCTGAGAGCAGAAAAGGCAAGCAAGATTTTACGGGTATATACACAAAAACAGAAGGCAGTTGATATGTTCTCCATCTGGTTTTTTGGTTATAAGCCATGTCCTACATCTTACTCAATGCTGCAGAAAACCTGGCCATGTTCAAAAAACAGAACTCCAAAATATTTGCCCACTTGAAAAGTGACTATCAGCTAAGAGGATGCAGGAACAAAGTGGCAACTTATTCAGCTTTATTAGCAAGCTCAATCCTGAATCAAACAATTTAACAAATATTTGAGTTAATTCAGCCAATCATCAGGATGCAAAACTTTAAAAGGCAATTTTTAGCATGCGTCAGTAGCATAACAACTACTACATTCTAGAAGTATGCATGAATGTGAATGTAAACAATTTAAATGGAATTCAACCAATTTAGAGTATCTGAATGCATTTTTCTATGGAAAATATAAATAATAAAGCAGAAATAGGATCGCAAAGTAATAAAGGATAGTTTTGACTTTCGAGTACACTTCAGTCACAATTAATAATCCCATCTAGAATAGACGCTCAATTAGTAAATCAATCCAACAAAATTTATCAGTTTCATTTTCATGTCACAAAATAATCAGGTGTAAGGAAGCTAGTGTAAAGGAAAAAAGACATCAGATGTAGGGTGTGTAGAAAAAAGTTGAAGGGTTTCGAGCAGCTAGAAAATTTAATCAACCCACCGTCCCCGATATATGATGCAGATGAATGCAAGATCATGAAACAGGTATTGAAGGTGCCACTGCTTGAAACCAATTGCAAGATATTGCTTTTGTTCTCTTCTCACATTAAAAATGCATTTAAGGACCAACATTTCGCATTTACTTCCCAAACTCTAAAGTGAAGCAGAATCATAAAGAAGCAAATTCAGGATCATATCTTATCATCATTTCAGGGAAAAAAAGTTACTGCAATTATATAAAAGAAAGTTTCAGAGTAAATAAAATAACATAGTACTAATATTCAGAACCAAACACCATATGCAAGCATCTGAAGTGCCTCACTTTGCATTTGGATCCAAGTCCTTCACAGCCTGACACACTGCATGTACAATCATTTTCTTCACCTGTTACAAATGGCAGTTATAGAAAAACAGCATTCAAAAATTTAATAAACTCAAGTGTTTGCAGATACTTTAAAAAAAGAAAAGCTCAAATTTTGAAACTTCTGGATGACATGCCAAACTCCTAACCACTTGTTTAGCGGTGCATCAACCTCAATCAAACTCAAATAACCACATAATGAAATGAAATGTGCAAAGGGCAACGTCAGCAACAACTATCAACAAATATTGCAGATAGGTGAAAAAATCAGGTACAAGCCAATTCAAGGACCATAACTCACAAGGAGAGCCAAAACAGATTGGAATTATTGAAGTGCCAGAGGAGGAAGGAATAGAGTCAAACAGTGCAAATCATGTTTTATCATCATGATTTGGTGAGAGCAAATGCAATAGGTCTATGTAACAATGATCCATGATAATGTTAAATGTGGAACACACTAGAGTAGGTATAATATTCAATCATCTAGACGACTGAAAGTCTCTTAAGGGCAAGATACCAGTAAAGCTACCCACTGCCCCTCTCATAATAAAGGGCTACAAGAAATACAGAGTGAAATTATAGCATCAACATTCTAATAATGCTCAAGAACCATATATGCACATACCTCCAATTTATCCTCTTTTGCCCTATGATCATGAGGAAGTACACGGAATTCTTCAGTCAAGCGAATACACTCACCAATATTTTCAGGTGAAACAAAATCAAGAGCAACCTTTATGCATGACTGTCGATCATAAAGATAAAGGTAAGAGCATCAGAGAAATAAGCCTATGCATATTGAATCACCAGTACAAGAAATCAACTTTATGCATGGTTGCTAATAGAAGGAAACTTACAGCATTATTTGTTTTTACTGGACAAAGCCATTATGACTGGTGAGCAAAGTTCAAAAATTCTTGGTTGGCAATTAAGGTTTTTAACACAGAATGTATGACCAAATGTAAAAGAATCTATCAAGGATATCAGACAAGACACCAAGAAAATAAAAGTACTTTGAAGTTTCAGAAAAGCCCAATATTGCTTCCTTATTGATATATCAAACCACTCACAAACATCTCAGATCTAGACACAGTTCAAATTGATTAGAGAGCAGGATTCATAATCTTTCTATAATCACTATGTTAATGATTACAATTATTTGCACCAAGGAAACTTAATTGAGACATCATACACAGTTACAGAAGAAAAATGGGATATCAATGAGAAAGAAAGAACTACATAAAGATTGTTTAAATTTGCAAACTGCAACTTTAGGTGATTTTAAGATGATAATTTGAAGTAGAACTTAATTGCTTCTCAAACTGCAAAAGCATATGCTAGATGAGAGGCATGCCAATAAAAACATTAAAGACGCTATCCAAGTTGGCAATCCCTTTTCCTTGAATGTCTCAATGGAATTTTACGTGCCCTTTGCTTACACATTTAAAATATATATATATATATATATATATATGAATGTATGTATGTATACCCATACCTATAATTCTAGACATCATATTCAAGAGATTTGGTTCACACGTAAAATGACATTAATGTTGAAAACACAAGAGACATAATATTTTCAAACAAAAGCATGGCAAAAGATTGCAACAACAAATTTGTTACCTTAATGTTCCGGACTTGATGAGGGCACCCTGCAGGTATAAAAACAGCCTCCCCAAGTTTCTGAACAAAAGTCCATGGTTCAATTCCTGCATGCCAGCATTTTATATAACCATAATCAAAGACAGACGTTTTGTATGACTGGGCCAATAATATGTACCATACACTTTAACATACCATATTCCTTCTTAAGCTTTGCCTTATGATCCATAGTCAGAAAAAAGGACTGATCATGTATAGGGTGAAAAACCTATATGACCAAGAGACAATAAATTGTATAGTATAAATGACTAATCAAAGTAAGAATCAATTGCCTAAAACTTTTAATGCATTAAAGTTTAGAGCATATAAATATGCTAACAAATAGTCCAAATTCAAAAGTCCTCTCTGTGAATTCCCATTTGATTATAATCTTTACCCAGCTCAATAAGGACTGTAGATGAGATGTGGAAGGAGTCACCAATTTCTCCAACTATTGTTACTTTAGATTCCACTGCCTTTCTTGTATAGTGTGCACACACTAACACTGAAAAAAAAACCCCATTTCTTTCATTGAGCCAAGGAACCGTAATAGGCACATCTTGAAAAATTGATATCCATCTTTTTGCTACAGCTTTGAGATTAGTTCATTTTTAAAAATGGTGAAAAGAAAAACACGGGGTTATAATCATTTACAAGGATCCAACTAAAAGAAAGTATTGCAACTCCATTACTGACTATATCATCAATTCAATAATAAACAAAACAAAACAAAAAGCTCCAGGCGCAATATATAATTTAGAAAAGTTACCTGTGATACTGGGCAACAATGAACATATCTAAACTCCCTAAAGTGCTTTTCAAGGTAATCCTGCAGCTTTGGAATATCTTGCCTCCGGAATATGTCCCAGATAGCACCTCCCTCAACAGTTTCCACCTCTTCAAACTTATTCCCAAAAGTTTCAGATGATCTGCCATTATCCATGCATTCTTCTTGATCAACTTTTTCATTCCTACTTTCTTCCATTTCAAATTTCCTCACCCAAGTACTGCCATTCAGGCTAGAATAACCATCCTGACCTTGTTGTTCAACAATAGCTTCACCTTTTTGTTCGGCACCTATATCATTAGACTGCCTGTTGCAGGTAGAGGTATCAAAAGACCCATCGCCAGGCTTGTTCCCAACAACCTTTGAACTCATTCCAAAAAGTTCCTGCTGGTCTTGCACATGGTGCTTTTGTTTTAACTTGGCAATGCTAGTAAGCTGTTCAGGTGTAAGCTTCACCTCAGCAGTGTGTGTCAAAACATTCACCTAAATAGAAATTTCAAAACAAACAAACAAACTTTAGGAACTAGCAAATGACAAAAACCACAAAAGTTTTAGTTTGATATTTCACAGCATAGGCGGAGGGGCAAACAGAACCACAGCCACAACTGACTTCAGTCTGCTTGGATGGCAACATAAGCTCATTTTTCTACATTTAATGAAGAACAGATACTTAAATAGCACCTGATGTACTGAAGGCAGAAATAATAAAAGCTTAAGGCATATAAGTTTTGAACCCAAATACATTCTTTTAGTTATTAGGGGAAGTGGGCATTTGAATTTGAGACATCCACTGCAAAGAGATGTGGCTAAACCAACTGGGATGTGCCTCAGCCACACCTACAAATGTAGATATCTTGGTATGTTTAGACATACCAATTGAGCTATGTTAGCAAATGTAGCAACACCTCATTAGCCAAAAATTAATACAGGACTCAATACCCACACATGATTAATTGATCTGACCCCTGATTTATAACTTATAACATCCCAAAGTCTACCTACTAGTTTTTGCAGTCATTTTTGTCAATGCAATGTCCTTACAACCCACACAACCACTGCCCCAAAGATGAAAAAGGAAAAGGCAAAAATTAAGGAGATAAGCAACATAAACAGCTTGAATAAATCACTGCAGAAGAACTTATGCTGGTGCTGTTATTTCTTTGAAAGGCATAGAAGGAACAGGAATTGTTTAAGAATTAAGCATCAAACATGAACAAGTAAAGACAAGATCTAATCCAAACATGAACAAGTAAAGACAAGATCTAATCCAACCATAGAACTAAAAGAATAAGCTATCATTAAAAGCTGCATAATTTCCTTTTTGAATACTTTTTGATATTATACTTTGGACCAACAAAATAAACTGATGTGATAATAGCCTCTGATTCAAACTGTGTCAAAGTTACTGGTTACTACAACTAAAAGACACATATGTACTATGAGATAGCATTAGAAAAGCAGTTATGTGATCCATTTTACCTGTTCAACTTTATGATAATTACCACAAACATTAGTTTCATTGCTCAATAAAACTTATAAAATTCCGGTACATATGTGCATTTATATACTTGAACAAAAACAGGTACAAGCATGAAAGTTCACTAGTTTTGATACCGAACTTAAATCTCATTGACACATGATTATATAGGTATATCAATAACTCATAAAAAAAAAAAAAGTAGGTACAAAAAGAAAAAGTTCCTTCCAATAATCCAACCTAATAAAAATTATTTATTCCAACTGAATAAATAATCTATTTACTAGCATTAAAGTTCTTACTAAAAAATAAAGGAAAAACTGAGAGCATATACCGCATCAGACATATCACAGTGAAGCCTCGTTATGGAGTCCCCACGCCCTAGCTCTTGAGCAACTCCATATGCAATATATGACTTTGGCCCCATATCTGGCTTTAGAGATTTCTCTGGCAATTTGGTAGCAATATTAAGAAGCCCACTTCGAGGAAGCGTATATTCTTTAAAAGGCAAAGAACAAAGAAATTCAGCATGATGACGTGGAAGGAGCTTCTCAAACTCATTAGATGGAGGCCAATCTTTCAGCTTCAGTATCTGGGGCCATGATTCTATATCAAAACGACCATCTGCATAACCTTTAAAGAATTGGTGAATATTGACCACTACCTACATTTTCACCAACAGTGCTGATTTTAGAACCACGGTAATCCAGCCAACAAGCAATTGAGAAAAGACAAGCATACGTCACTATACATGCCGAAATTCCAGGAAGATGAGATGCTAAAATAGAAATGATATTACAATAGCAAAAAAAATAAATATGGACATATTATTCCATTCTCTTTTGCTTCACGTTACAAAAGATATTGAGATGTGGACATATCTGTACTCTATAGGATACTAAATTATAAACAACCACAAGTAATAAAGAAAAAAGCTATTTTTCAACCACGGCAGCTTTAGTTAAAACATATTATAATAACAGTCATTTGCAGTGAGGTCAAAGACTAATTTGACTTCTGCAGTACTCTGTTGACTCACAAACATTGGTAAAATAAACAGTATATAATCAAGTAGAGCATCATATGCTAATAATAAGAACTACTACAGTTGATAACCAAACTGACCTCAGACCAATCTAAGCAATGAAGTGCCTTAACTTCCAACTGTTGGTCATGTTTAGTATTTGTAACCTGACGAAAAGCACGCCACATAACCATTGGCTCCCAGCTCAAACCAGATGTATTCTCTAATACATTGCTGACAATTACAGGCTCACCATTAGCCCAGTGCCTTTGGAAATGTTTCAAATCTCCACACTGAATGTCTTTAGCTTTTGGACAATATAAATAGTTGTCAATGGTACCTTCTCGAGATGCTGCTTTCCTTAAATTATTATTGCCAATGTCAACTTCTCCCACTGAATTGTAACAAGGGCACTGTTGGTTAGAAAATTCAAGAACATGCTCAAGATTGAGAGCTTTGGCTATTTCCTCAGCCTTTTCTGTTAACTCAACAACAGCATGTTCTGTAAACATACACCTTACCTCCAAAAGGCCATTACCACACCCACCAAAATCCTTCGGGGGGCAAGGAATGCTACCATTTTCATTTGCCTTCCACCCAGAAGTTGCAGCATTATGTTCTTTAGAGTTATTTTCCTCAGGGAAATCCTCTAGATTCCCCACTCCTGAAGACATAGAGCACTGAAGTTTTCCATGCAAGTAATTGAGACCCCTATCAGCATATTCCACAATTACTTCCTTTTGTCCACCCTGCAAATGGCCATCACGGATTTCACGGCAACATGTAAGGCAGAGATCATAGTTACAGTTTGGACAGCTTCTATGAAAGTCAACAATTGATGTTCTGCAGTTGTTACTGCAAAAACATGCCTAGGCATCAGTAACTTTGTAAAAATGTCCAAACAATGAACAAAATGATCCTCACTTTAATCACACCATCAGAACAATAACAATAAGAACCTACCAATATACACGCTCGTCATAGGGACAAGGTGCCTGCTTAAGCTGTATTTCTTCTGGAAGCAGCCCTACTCATCCAATAAATAAGTTTTAAAAGTGAATTATTACAAAAACAATCATAAATAACAACATTCTAACATGCTACGTACATATTAGGATAACAAGAAGTTTGTAGTCCTGAACATTGGTTTATTATTATTTTTTTATATTGATCGGGCCCAAGAAATCACATTTTGGAGAAATGATGGTAGCATAAATGATCCTTAATGAACCAACCAGTATACTTCCATAAAATTAAGGTGAAATTAATATTGTAATGAGTAATGATGGTTCAAAACTTTCATATGATGCCCTAATTTACTAAAGACAGAAGAGTAGGTTTAAAAGGTCCCTTCCATGAAGTTGCCTCAGTGGCAGGTCAAGAACAGTCAAAACTAACTTGCCATACCAACAAGAAGCCAATTCAAAATTTTTTCCATCTTAAGAATAAATTCTGCCAGACGTCTGGAATTTTCTTTTCAAGCTTCTTCCCTATAAAGAAATAGATAGCAAGCTCCAAACAAAACAAACAGCCATCTTTAGTATCTACTTCCACAAGAGAAACGGAATTTCAACATTATTTTTAGGATCCTTCTCTTAATGGAATCTAATGGTTATTTTTAAAAGATGAATTTTTATCATGCCTCCACATTAGACCCCAGTTAGTTAGCACAGAGAACATCAATAAGTTTGCACAAAAACATGTTCACATAGATATTTACATACCTTGAATTTTTGCCTCAATGGCCACCTCCTTCATTTGTTCTTGACTAAATTGTTTAATGTATGGAAGAAGTGTCTGAAGCAAGTATCTAGAGTGCTGAACTTTTTCATCATCACTGAACTCCAAATGTAGTGTCTTTCCCAATTTCTACAACTCATCAAAAAATGCAATATCATGAATCAAGTATGACATAATATATGCATCAAATGGAGCAGTAAAGCCCTGAATTTCAGAACTAACTTTGAGAAGGCCAGTCATGCGCAAGCATGCCTTGCAATTGCAATTATCCCGACAAAATGGGCAGGCATCAGCAATTGCCTCCTCTGACATCTTGGGATACCTAGTCCCAGAAAGACAAAATAAATAATCAGTTAAAAGGGAAACAATAACATATTCACTTATGATTAAGATGAAAACAAACAATAATGTATTCACTTATGATTAAGATGAAAACAAACAGAGAGAAAAGCAGCAAAGTTCATGAGTAATTGCTAACTACATGCAATTCAAACCAGAAGCAATGCACATACATTTTGATAGAAACCAGTCTTGATAAAAGAAATTTAGAACATCGATTGTCAGCAACAGATAAATCTTAAGTAGTTAACAAAAGCAGTATTTTAAGCCAAATTTCATGAGATAAAATGCAAATTAACAGGAAAGAATCAAATCAATGAAGACATTATTTTTTAAGGATAGAGTTGACAAAGTTAATGCTCCGAAAAGTGTACCAATTGGTTAAGCAGGGGATGCAATATCGTTTCCGCTTGCAAAGCTTGCACCTCACAACCCTGCCTTTATCATTCCTCTTGCACTGATGGCAAGTTAATGACTCTTCAGGAATCCACTGCTGAAAGCAAAAAAGAAGCATAGCAACACTTCAGTTCATCATTCAATACGAAAAACACATCATGACATTAATGCAACAATAAAAAAGCATAATTTTTACCTTAGCATCCTTCTTTTTCTTCGAATCTGGCACAGGCTCTTCTTCTTTCTTGGAAACTCTTGAGGGTCTAAGAAAAGATTTTGACTTAGTGTTAATTCCCAATGACTCCACCTCTTGTTTTTCCGAACTTTCACCATTTCCTACAACTTCTTTATTTATCTTCTTTCCATCCCTCTTTGCCCCTCTTTGACTCCTCTTTTTTCCATCATCTACACATAAATCAGCGCCTTGCTCTTCTTTACCTACCTCCTCTACATCTTTCCCTTCATTGCCTTCACTCTCGGAAACTTGTTTTCTTGGCCTACCCCTTCTTCCTCGCTTCTTTGCAGGTATCCCATTATCTCCATACCCATTATAACCATCTTCTTGACCTTCAGATTTAACAACTTTCCTTTTCTTCCTACCGTTTCGTCCACGCTTCCTTGCCAAAGGCCATTCATATTCATCTTCTTGAACATCAACATAACTAACCTTCTTAGCAACTGCTCTCAGTCTCCTCTTGGAAACATCCCCACTATTTCCTTGCACATTACCAGCAGCACCCAAATCAACTTTCTCTTTCCTACTAGCTCCATCTTCTCCATTTGATACCTCTAGATTCTCAACAGAAATCACCCTTTTCTTACCTTTAAGTTGAACCCCATTTTCATCCAATTTCTCCCCACCTTCTTCCCCTTTCTCAGCCACAAAATCCAAACTTCCTTCCACATTTCCCTCTTCCACAATCTCCTTTTTGCCCCTTTTCGAAGAAACTGTCTCTTGCTTCTTTCTACCTCTTTTATTAGGCTTCTTTAAAGCAGCCCCTTCATCTTCCCCTTTCAAATCCCCACTTTTCTTCTCCTTCCCTTCAATTCCCTTCTCTTTTCCTTCCACTTTCCCAGCTTTCTCTCCACCCATATCACTATTTTCCTCCTCTTGTTCCTCCCCATTTCTCCCTTCAACTTGCTTCGCAGCAAAACCGCAATTTTCTTTACTTCCCATAACTTCAACGTCGCTTGGCGACATTCCTTCGAAGATTCCGGGCGCTCTCTCCGGTTTCAGCCTCTTCCTTGGATAAGCAGCATAGAGCTTTAAAAACTCGCGTTGTCCTCCAATAATAGAAAGGTTCAAGATATGAAATGGTAGTACTAGGGTTTGATTTTTAAATGTGGGTTAAAACTTAAAGTCATGACAAATCAAAATTTGGGAGGGAAATCAAAATTCTTTGAGTGGTTTGATGTGAAATGAAGTGATGCTATTTGGAAACAAGTTGGATGTTGTGTTGGCGCAGTGTTCGAAAAATGGGAAACCAGTCAATCAGCTGGAAATTGGGAACTGAGTTTTGGACTTAAAGGTTGGATAGGGTAACAATTTCTGCCTTTCTGTTATATTTGCAACTCTGGGTGTTGGAGTTCAGACCAGACAGACATTAAAAAAGGTTTGAAACTGGGATTTGGAAGTGAAACAGTAAATTTCGACCGTAAAAGCCTTTTCTTTTTGTAGAAAAAAATTTCAGATTTGAACATCAAACCTATTAAAAGTCACCTTTAAGAGAGCATGAGCCGATTGCACTGAACTGAGGTTCCACGTGTGGCGTGTAAAAATATCAATACAACAAGAGCCGAATTATCCGGACACTGTCCAATGTCCCGCCATGTCAGATTGTACAATTGTGAACTGCATTGTACTTTACCTTGAGCTTAAGACTGAACAGCTGAAATAAATAAAATTTCTCACGTGAACTAATAATACGTATTTTTAAAATGATTTATTTAATTATTAATTTTTTTAATTTAATTATTTAAATTTAAATAAATATTTTTATCATTTAACTTTTAATCTTTAAAATATGATAATATGACAGTACCACATTAATTATTATGTACCATATAATATTATCATGACATATCACCTGGTATATTAATAGTTAATATAAAAAAGATATAATAATATTATGTTATATTTGATAATTTATATGATAATATTATATTATTAAGGTATTAAAAATTAATATTAATGATAAAAATATTTATTTAAATTTAAATAATTAAATTAAATAATTATTTAAAAAATCTAATTATAATTAAATAAGCAATGATGTATTTTATCTAACTTTTAAATATGTGGTCAATTGTAGGCGTATCTTCTTGATATTACATTTTTTTTTAGCCAATTTTTTTGTCCATTGACATGTATTTCCAAATTTGTAATTCGCACATCACACTCACTGACACTTGCCGCTCTGTCCCTTCATCGCCAGCGACATTAACAAACAAGCTACCAGGATGGAAAAATATGGGAGAGCAAAGGTGGTAGTATTAGGTGGAGTGGAGACGGCCAATTAAAATTAAAATCAAAATAATTAAAGGTTTTTTGTAAAAAAAAAAATTTGAAATAGATAAATTATTTATTTTTTTAAATAAAATATTTTGTATTTGATAATCTAAAATAAATGATTATAAATTATATATTTAAAATGACTTTGATAAATAATTATTGATAAAAATAAATTTAAATTTTTTTTATAAAAATAAATAAATTTTCACCGATTGAATTAATTTTTTATTGATAAAATAATTGAACTTGAAACAAGATTTTGCCCGTCCAAGAAAATCAATGAAAGTAAAGAGGTGACACAGTCTGACTTCAGTTATTATGGTACCAAGTCAGAGAACTAAGAAGCAAGGTGCTCTCAGCGGCTGATCCAAATGGATAATAGTTTACATAATTAAGGGTAATAATAAATAGTAAATAAATACATATGTATTATTATTTAATTTGTTTACGTTAGATTTGAATAATTAATAAATTTGGATAAAAAATTTATTATTTTTAATAAATTCGAATATATTCTGAATATTTAATATTTAAATTTATTTAAATTTTAATAAATAATAATAGATATTCAAATTTGTATTTAAATCAATTTTCTATTTACATATATAAAATATATAAAATTTTATGCTTATAAAAGATTTCGAATTTTAAAAAATAACTTTTGTTTATTATTAATTAAGAGTGAATTTGAATTTTAAATTAAATTATTATTTATTTTATATTTTGACAAAAAATTTAAATAAATAAATTTTTAAAGAATTCAAATATTTAAACAAATTCAGATTTAAATTGTAATGTTAAATTTAAATAAATATTTAAATAGATTTAAATATTATAAATATTAAATAAATTTAGATATAAATATTTCAAAAATAACGAATATCTACTTCGTTACTATTTCTATATATGACCACCTCAATTGATAGAAAATAAAAAATTTTGAAAAAAAATATTTTTGAACATTTCAAAAAAAATTTGAACATTTTTAAATAGTAAAAAATTAAAAAAATTTAAACACTTCAAAAAATTTTCTTTTGATCAATAAAATTAATAAATTCATGAATTTTTATATATATTATAAATAAATATCTCTAAAAAACTATAAACTCGTTACTGGAATTTGATATATTTGTTTATCTAAATAAATTAAATCAAATGTACACATATCTTAATAATATAATTCATATTAAAAAATTTACTGGTTGATTAAAATATTAAAAAAATGCTTTCTTTAATTGTTGTTTTGATTTGAATTCATTAAAAGATTATAAAAATATTTTTTCATTAATTTATTAAATCAACATAATAAATATGTTTGAACCGATAATAAAAAATATATTGAAGAAAACTGGAGAACCCCGTGACGTTTAAACAAAAAAAGCCTAGTTCCCTTGAAGAACAGGGAGGACTTTGTCACCCATTTCGTTGCTAACTATGGTACCTCCTGTAGAACGTAGATTTGCCTTCCAATTCCATTCTCCTCTTGAATGCGGGGAGGGTGACACGAGACAAGACAACCTCGTGCTACTTTCTATCTTAGAATATGAAAAGAATAGCGGAAAGGCAGAGACTACCGCATCACAAGTCATAACATAGAAAGAAACGGCTGAAATGAAGTTTTCTTGTCAGGTTTCTTTGTATCAACGCAACTAATAAAGTGTAGCTTTTTTTTCTTTTTTTTTTGCCAAATCATGGTCTTGGCAACAATGGCACATTAAATAAGGGTAAAAGATTTTCCCTCATTTCAGTGTAAAATAATTTTGGAAAAAACAATGAAAACATATAAAGGAAGTCCACCTGAAATTAATTCAGAAGATCGTTTTCTTTTTTCTAGAAACAAAAACACTAATTCAGGAGACCTCTTTGCTTGAAGACATCAAGCATTGCTACACCAATCTTTGCAGGTGATTCAACAACTGTTACTCCAGCTTCCCTTAGTGTCTTGATTTTGTCCTGAGCCGTGCCCTTGCCCCCAGATACTATAGCTGTTTGTTCAAAAACAAGGAATAATAAATAATTAAATAAAACACTCTAGAGCAAGAATGGCTATATTATTTCCGGAAAAATTACCCCTTGAAGAAGAGTGTTAACACAAAATGAAACCATCAAGCATGAACAAAAGCAACAGATATACTGGCTTTCAATAAACTCAAAATACATGATTATGACCTTGTCCTGCGATGGTCAATTTTCAGTGTTGTATCCTCCCAATTTTGATTCATACACACATTAAGAACAAACATAACAATTTACCTTTCAGCTAAAATGTCAAAAAATAATATCTTGATTATTATAGGTTCAACATTTTCCTTTTTCCAATATAAAATGGGTCTTAAAAATTACTACTGTATTTTAGCTTATGGAAGAGTGCATAAAAGAGACACTAAATAGTTGTTACTGCAACCATAAACATAAACAAAACTTAGAAACAATGCATTACCTCCAGCATGACCCATACGTCGTCCTGGAGGAGCAGTAAGTCCAGCAATGAAGGCAACAATAGGTTTTTCAGTCCCACTTTCCTGTTTCATTAGGAAACAAAACCAGATGTTAATTCTCAACTGAGAAAGAAAGATGTTCTCCAGCAATTTGTAGTTTTACACAATTGCAGCAGAAATGAAATGAAGGTTCTTATATTGCTCTATGATGCAAGTAGGAATGGCAACAGGTTGGGGCAAGGTAGGTTTTCGTTCGACCCATCCCCCTAATATTTATACCTTAACCCGACCCAATATTAAAATATTTTTTAATAACAGACCCGTATATTCACAAACTGCAACCGACCCAACTCAAAATTAATTTAACAATTTTAATTTAATAAAATATTCATAAAATATTATTTTTTAATATAAATTATATTTTAATTATACATAAATATAGTATTTTTATTAAGTTAATATTTTAAATTAAAGTATTAAATAATAATTTTGTTGATATAATCATATATAAATATAAAATTAAATAAAAAATAAAATATATGTTTTATATATATATTTGGATCAGGTTGAGGAGGGACCACCTAAAACCGGACTCTGACCCAAACCCGACCTTAGAAAAAAATACCTGACCTGGCCTCTGATTTCAAAAAAAAATCCAAACTTATCCGATCGGGACGAGTCAGTACCCATCAGCTATGGATTCTTCCAACCATATTTCTTTGTTTACTGTTCCTTCACCCAAAGGTAATTTACTTTTGGCCAAGGGGGTAGATGGAAAATTAAGGCTCAGTATGATTTCTTTAAGAGAAATAGACTGTAGAAAACATGAATACTAAATCCTATCATTATTTAGATGTTATCATCTATGCAAAATAGGACTATTGCCAAGACCATTACAAGCTAAAATGTAATTCAGTGGATATTATATAAAATGTTGAAGATTTCAGGCTATCTTATGCTTCAATTTTATCCCACCTGAGGAAGAGGAAAGAAGCCAATTATGTTAGTTACACAGGTGCAAAGAACTATAAATTATAAACAAACTCCTACAAATTAAATTTGATCTAGCTATTAATAAAGTGAGAATCTGCATGGAAGTCTACTATTTTCTCCCCACATGTGCTTCTTTTTTTTGGCCAGACACAGAGGTACTACAAGCAGTAACTAGTAAGTACTAATCATCACTCTCTAGAACAAAGGGTCCTCAGTTCCTTCATTCTAAAGTGTTAACATTACCTTTATTAGTGCAGCAGCATCTTCTTCTGCAGTGCCCCCTATTTCACCAATTAGAACGATACCTGAATGCAATTGCAATAATTAGATGGTATGCATTGCTATTCACCATAGACAAGATACAACCACATAGTAGGAAAGACCTTTTAATTTAATAACTGCAGTGGAATTAATGATAGTCAACTAATACCGATACTTAAAGTAGTCCCAAAGAAACTCCCTCTTATGATTTAAATCAGCAAAATCTTACCTTCTGTCTGAGGATCAGCAAGGAATTTTGTCACACAATCTACGAAGTTGGTTCCATTAAAAGGATCCCCACCAATTCCTACACAGGTTGACTGCCCCAGACCCACTGCAGTTGTTTGGAAAACCTACAAGATAAACTGCCATTATTTTTTTGTTGACAAATTACTAAAAGAGAGTACAACATGCCATCAGCATATACAAAACAGTGTTAGTTTAGTGTAAGACACTGTTTTATATGAGTTTCTTAAGTACTATGGTGATTCAACTATGATAGCTATGAATCTATTATACAGCTACTGAATATTGGAATAGATTAACTTAAGTGTCCAGCAAAAATTCACCGGGTTAATTTTATTCATATTTTTCAACAACTTCCATCAAATCAAATTGATTAGTTGAGAACTTTCATATTTGACATATTCTTTACTAAATAGAAAAATTTTTATACGAGAACCACTCCAAGTTTTATGTAATATAGATATCTTAAAGGGAAAGAACCATGTGAATGGAACAGAAACAAGAAAAATAGAGAGACATGTAGTTTGGCCACAAGCAATGCTAGATCAGAACCCCGTCCTGCAAAAATTTAGTTTAAACTATGAGATTTAGAACTAGTGAAAAAACTAACTGCAGTGGCTGCTATTGAAATGCCTAGACATTGTGTTAGCCAGAAAACTAAAGGTTGACAATAGCAAAAATGCCTTGATCCTGATAGGACTACAAGGTTTAGAAAACAAACATGTGAAGATGCATCATCAGGCTTATTCAGGCATATAGATACTACAAAGGTTACCAATACACACAAAATTGAAAGTAAGAAAGTAATGAAGCAAACAGACAATAAATATCCAATAAATGAAGGTCTTACTGCTTCATATGTTAAAGTGCCTGATCGGGAAACAATTCCTACACGACCTGGTTTATGAATATATCCAGGCATGATTCCTATCTTGCATTCTCCAGGTTTGATGATGCCAGGGCAGTTTGGACCAATCAGCCTGGTTTTTGATTGCTGATTAAGGGCAGCCTTCACACGGACCTGTAGTACAAAGATATCAGCTTTGATCTCAAAAAGATCAATAAAATCCATTTACAATCACAAGATGGAAGGAAGATTTAAACTGTAATTTAGGTCACAGCCCATTGGTGCATATTGCAGTCCTACACTTGGAAGTGCACATAATGCAAATAAGCAGACTGAAATCACTTCTAAAATAAAAACCACAATACAAATTCATTTCCAGAGATAAGGAAGCAGAATTACAAATTTGGAAAAACAATTAAACAAACAACTTTCTTTCTAAGTTGCCTTTGATTCATTTACCATGTCATGTTGAGGAATTCCTTCCGTGATACAAACAACAAGATCCAATTCAGCTTCCATAGCCTCCATGATAGCAGCAGCAGCAAAAGGCGGAGGAACATAAATGACTGAAGCATTAACCTTGGTTTCAGCCTTTGCTTCGGCAATTGTATTGAAAACAGGAAGTCCTAAGTGCTCTGTGCCACCCTTCTTTGGTGTAACTCCACCAACCTATCAAAAGAAAAATGAGAGAAAACTAAGGACTAAAAAAGATACTATAACTACTAAGCAGCCTTGGATCATTCTTAGAATTCATACAGACATAATGGATAATTGTAACCTTATGATATAGAGAAATTCACATAATTTCTTACAAAGCTAACTGAAACCCAGTTCTCTGACACACATAAACAAATCATATAAAGGTCTTACCTTTTCCTGAATTTTCTCAATACCCCATCAAGTTGCAGTAAGAAAAGAGACTCACTAACAGATTCAGGAAAAAAAAAACCAAAAAATCCATGAAAAAATTTAAAAAAAAAAAAGAGTAAAAGTTTAATAGGAATTTAAAGTACCATCTTAGTGCCATATTCGATGGCTTGCTCGGTGTGGAAAGTGCCATTCTTTCCAGTGATGCCTTGGCAAATGACGCGAGTGTTCTTGTCTACAAAAACCGCCGGTTGAGGCGCTGGAGCCGCCGAGAAAAACCGTGACTGAGTCAAAAAATGAGAAGAAGAAGAAACAAAGGGCTGGAGTGGGCATATTTGGGGTTTGTGAGGAGAAATCTTGGAAGACAATGATTGAATGAGTCGTGACGCTTGTCTAGCCATTGTTGCTGCTGCTGATTCACTATTGGATCTCCTTTGCCTCTTCCTCTGCAAAAAGCAAAAACGCAAGGTCGACCAAGATATTGCCTTCGAAAAGCGAAAGCCTACTTTGGTCATCTACCCTTTTTTCTCCCTGTATTATTTATTTTTCCATCATTTTTTTTAATGGACTTTTATGGGCCACATCTTGGGTCAAAATTTGGTTATCCCCCAAAAGTTATTAGGCTCCAGAGCCCAACGGAAAATAAATTAAAATAAAAATTAAATAAAGGAAAATTGTTTTTTTTCCTCATAATTTTTGGTGTATCAACAAAGGTAATGCTCCAAGAAGTTTTTTTATTTTCTTTTGTTTCTCCTTAAATTTACCCAAAAAAAAAAAAATGAAAAAGGAAAGAGTAGATAAACATGACAATTATTTGATAATAAACATGATTTTGAACATGCTAAAATGGAATACTAGTTTTTGTTTTTAATTTTTATGTTTTTTGCTTTATAATTCAATATTTGATGACCTTTACTATTATTTCAACACCTTCGTGATCAGCTATGCCGATTTATGCTTGGTTGTAATGAAATAAAATAATCTCAAATAATATTAAACAAAATATATTACACACTAAAATTAAATTGTCTTTCTTTTATGTGAATTTAGTAGGAATCAAATGAATAAAGTAACACCAATTTTAGCAAATAAATTATCAAACTACAAGTATAAAAACACATAATTTTACGTAAAAAGTCTTCTTAATGCAAGGAGTAAAATCTCAAGCAATAATAAATAATCTCCATTATCAAGATAATAAAAACATAAAGTTCTCTCTAATTAGAATTAGAGTTATACAACTACAATATCTCAAAATTAAATAATCTTGACAAAAAAATTTTGCAAAAAAAAAAATGGATAAGTCTCACTAAATTAAAGGAATAATAAAAATTTACAAAACCAATAGGTAAAAAACTAAAAACTTGATCTTTATCATTTAGACTGAAGAATAATGAGTCGTGAACATACTAATAAAATTTCAGATCAATCGAGTCATGAATTGATTTTGATTAGACTACTTGATCAGAACTACATAAACCTCTTTTTCTTTAGGTTTTTCTTTAGGTTTTTCTCTCACGTTATTGTCAACTTTTATTACTAGCTGACTTCAATATTAGCAAAAGCTAGCCATATGAAACAGCTCTTAAATAATAGCACAAAGGTTTAAAACACTATAAAATAACATAAAGAAGTGAAAGAACAATAAAGTCTTTAACGTGTATGGGTTATAGGATATGGACTACCTCTACATAATCAAGCCCAACAAATCTCCTCATTTTTTACTATATAGAGGGAATTGCTATACCTTCAATTAAACGACAAACTTCTAATTTCTCTCTTAGTAATGTCTTTATCAACATAGTAGAGCCATTGTTATCGGTGTGGATTTTCTCAAGTTCAAACAAGTTATCATTGAGAGCATCTTTTAACCAATGATACCTTACATCAATGTGCTTGATTTTTAATGAAAAGAAAAAATCTTGCCATGAAAAATTGCTCTTTGATTGTCACAAAATATAATATAGTTGTCGCTTAAAACTAAATTCTTGTATGAATTTTTTTTTTTTATCCATAACAAGTCCTTACATGCTTTAATGTCTGTGACATACTTTGCCTTTATCGTAGAAAGTATAACACATTTTTGTAGTCTTGATTATCAAGATACAACTTTACCTGAGAATGCAATCAAATAACCTAAAATAAACTTTCAAATATCCACATCTTTTACCATATCTAAATCAGTGTAGCCAACTAGTATTGGTTTCCCACTTCCAAAAATGAATCTTAAGTCAGAAGTGTCTCATAGATATATCATAATCCATTCAACTGCATTCTAATATTTTCTTATTAGATTTGATAAAATGCAACTAACAACACTAACTGTATGAGTTATATCTGGCCTAGTATATATCATCATGTATGTCAAACTTCCTATTGTTGAAGCATACGGAACTCTTTTCATGTTTTCCTTCTCTTTAGTTATAAAAAGGCTTTGTTTAATACTTAGCTTAAAGTGTGTAGTAAGAAGAGAACCAACCATATTAATGTGATCCATATTGAACCATTCAAGCACTTTTTAAATATAATGCTTCTGTGACATGTATAACTTCTTAGCTGCTTTTGTGTTGATGAATTCAAATTTTAAAAATTTGTTATGCTAGCCCAAGTCTTTCATAGCACAAAATCTACTCAATTGCTTTTTTAATTGGTTAATTCTAAAAGCGTTCTTGCCAACAATCAACATGTCATCAACATAAAGCAATAATATAATAAAATCATCATTAAAAATTTTTACACAAAGACATAATAGTCAAAATTAGTTTTTCAGTAACCTAACTCACCCATAACTAACTTAAACTTCTCATACCACTAGTTCAATACCTACTTCAATCTATAAAGATTTTTGTTAAGCTTGCACACATAATCATTTTTTTTTATTATGAGGCTTTCTACTACTCCATGTAAATCTCCTTGTCTAAGTCACCATAGACAAAAGTAGTTTTGGCATCATTTGCTCAATTTTTAAAATCAAGACTAGTTGTTAAACCCAAAACCATATAAATAGATGACAGCTTAACAACTCGAGAAAAGATTTTATTAAAATTGATACCTTTCTTTTGACTGAATCCATTGACAACCAATCTAACTTTGAAATGAGACTGTGACCTTTCTTTTGATCGAATCCATTGATAACCAATCTAACTTTAAAACAAGGTTGTGAAGTGTGTTCTTCTTACTTCACTTCTTATACCCATATATTTTTCAAAGCTTTTTTCCTTTTAGGTAACTTTACCAACTCAAAAATATTATTTTCATACAAAAACTTTATATTATCCTGTATGGTATCAACCCATTCTTTCTTGTATTCATCTTTCGTGGCCTTTACATAACATTAGGTTATCCTCTGTCAATTAGTAGCATATACTCATTAATAAAATACCATGTGACAAGTTATCAATCTCTAGCAAACCTCATAAGTGAAACATCTAGTAAAACCTCTAATGAAACCTCTAATACTGGTGACTACTCATAGGTATCATCACCTACCTTAACTTATCTAGGATTGGTATCTACATCACTTATATTTCACTGGTTATGTTGAACATCTCCAACACCTATAGACATATGTGTCAAGAGAACTGGATCCAAGTCAATCAAACCATCACTACAATGTGAAATTGATATATTAGTTTTCTAAATATCTTGTATGGTCTGGTATTCCATAAAAACAACATTCTTATTGCTCACAAGTTTCTTTTATATTGGATTATAAAACTTGTAGCTAAACAAATCCTAACCAAAATCAAGAAATACATACTGTCTTGTCTTAACATAAAGCTTAAACCTCTCATTTTTTGGAACATACATTAAAGTTTCACATTTAAAAATGTGTAAATAATCATAAAAGACATCTTTACTTAACTAAACTTTATATGGAACATCAAATCTAGAGGAACATATAATGAGATATTCAAAATATATACAACTGTACTCCAAGCCTCACCCCATTCAAAACATATATCTTTTCCACAAGTGTCTTATTTATCCTTTTAGCTAGCCCCTTCAACTAAGTTTTAGAAGGTGACCTTTGATGTTTAATACATTTTTGTCTACATTGCTCATCAAAAGGTCAAGTGTATTCATCTCCATTCATAGTCTTTATGCATTTCAATTTTCAACCTCATTGATTTTTTAATAAGACATAAAATTGTTTAAACACATCTAACACTTAGTCTTTTGTTTTCAATGTATAAGTTTATATATTCCTTGGATGATCATCTATAAAAATCATAAAATAGATGAAACTAAGTGTTTTTATTCTCATAGGACCACAAACATCAAAATGTACTAAATCAAGTATATCTAACTTTCTTAATGGATGAAATGTCTTGAATACAACTCTAGTTTATTTTCTTACCAAATAATGAGCACACTTCTTCAAAGATACATTTTTACTCCAAAAAAAAAGATTTTTCTTAGTCAAAACCTTTAAACGTTTTTTGTTTATGTAACTAAGTCACTTTTGCCAAAACTCAATTGTATCATCATTATCTATTACATTGATAATGAAATTAGATACATTTATCTGCATCAAATACAATGAGGAACATATCGTAGCCCTAGCTACCATCATAGGACCTTTAGTAAACTTTCATTAACCATCACAAAAGGTGTTGCAAACCCTTCATTATCAAGTTTCTTGTAAAAATCAAATCATATGAATATCAAGAATATGTTTAACATTTTTTAAGATAGTATAATACTATTATTGGTCTTCAAAAACATATCTCTCATACCAATGACTTTAGTTGAGCTATCATTACTTATTCTAACACATCTAAAATCTTCAAGTGTGTAAAAGTAAAGTAATCTTTTCGAGATGTAGCATAAATTATGGCACTGTTATTAATCACCCAATTAGTCTCATGGTATGCAAAATTGATAACATCATTATCATATAAAATGAGTTATTTGTGAGAGTATCAACTTTATCAGTATTATTACCATCACTATTTTTTTTTTATCATCGTCACTTTTGTTGTCTTTTTTCAACTTTTGACAATATTTTCTTATATGCCATTTCAAACCCAATAATGATATTCAACATTGAAAATTTGTTAGACTTACTCTTACTTTTGTTTCTATTTTTTGGACATTTGCTTTTACTTCTCCCTTTTATTTTCTGTAACTAAGAACTTTAACTATGAAAAGAAATCCTATGACTTTCTTCTCATCTCTTCATTCAAAACACCACTATTAGTCAAATCTATAATGATGACACCATTTGGGGCTGAGTTAAATAATATCATTCTAAACATCTCCCACGAGTCCAATAATGTACCAAAAAGCCATAAGCCTTGTATCACATCTTCAAACTTGAGATTCATGCCAACCAATTGATTAATAATACTTTGATATGCATTCAAGTGATCTATCATAGGAGTTCTATTATGATATTTTAAATTCATTAACTACTTAATTAAAAATAGTTTATTATTTTAATTTTTAAGCATATAACTCTTCAAGCTTGCTTTACAAAAGTGTACCTATCTTTTCAGTAATATGGTTCAATATATTAT